CTGTTCTTAATTGTTTCATAATTTTTGGTAGGTCTAAACATCTATGTAACTTGAACAATGTTGTGCATAATATCGAGTGATCCGTTTAGAGAAATAGATTCCAATTTATGAATGAATCATCAATGGGTTATTTCAGTGAAAATATGAAATTAACTAGTGAATCGTACTCATTGGTAAAATGTTTTCTATTAATGGGTGGTTAATTTATGAATGAACTAGTGAAGTACATTCAATAAGCATGACAATAAAAGTTAAAATCTACTAATATCGAATAACGAACTACCTCCAGAAAGAACCGACACATTTTGTAAAATATTTTTATGATTTAGATTAAAAGATTCCTATGATAATAATTAATAAATAAAAATTTTGGAATTTCCTATAGATCATAGCGAGAGTAAGAGGAGGAACAGTAGGAAGAGCAAGGAAGGGACCAGAACTAAAACTTGGAGACATAACCATCGTGAAGGATGCGATTACGCCCGGAAGTTACTTCGGAAACGAGATTCCGGCGAGCATGGCGATCATAAAATGCCACCAGGACGAGGTGTTGGTGGTGCCCGAAACTGCTAAAGTGCTAGCTTATTCGGACAACTACGAGGTGGAGATGTTCTCCATTGAGGATCACTTCTTCTGTATTCAAGGACATCCCGAGTATAACAGAGATATTCTCTTCGAGATCGTTGATCGTGTTCTTCGTCTTGGCTACATCAAGGTTTGTTTTGTCAATACTGTTTGTTGTTGCCTTTGCTGGTATTAACTTATGATCACTATAATTTTGTTTTGGAATCGAACAAAATAACAGTGAGAACAAAATGGGTTATATATCTGATAAATTTTTGATAATTGTGCAGCAAGAAATGGCGGATTCGGCAAAGGCCTCGATGGAGAATAGGGAAGCAGACAGAAAACTTTGGGAGACGATTTGCAAGAATTTCCTCAAAGGCAGACTTCCAACGAATTAGTTTCACTCCCAAATTATCTATTTGGCTCTTGTTACTACTCCTATATTGGAACATTTATGGATTTTTATTATCTACCTTTATTCTTATTCAATGTATACCCTATTAAACTCATCGTTGTCAACAACAACAAAAAAAAACTCTTTTAATATCATTATGTCATATTTCTTGTTGTCTCTATAATGTAATGAATTCAATAAAAAATCATTTGTAGACTGTAGTTTGTAGTTTATGGCTTTTGCATGTCATCCTGGAGTTTTTTTGTTGTCTCTCTATTTAATAAATCATAATGTAAAATTAGAATTTACTGTATCTTTTGTAATAGTCTTTTTTTTTTTTGGTCAAACCTTAATTTCATTAGCTTAAACTTCCAACTTACACACACAAGAGGGAATTATCCATCCTCTTTGAAGCATAAACACAACAGAAATAAATACTTTGTATTAGTAATACAATTTACCCCAGGTTAGTCGGATGATTCGGCAAAACTCCTAAAAAGCTAAAGAATATTACAATTTTATTTAATGAAAATCAACTCTTACGAATTAGTAATACTTTGTATATTAATTGAGAAGTCAAATTTTTCCTTACATTTACTTGAGTCTGAAAGCGATATTTAGAATTTGTTTTTCTTGAAATTGTAATTGTATATAAAACATTTATTTGAAGAACAGTAGAAATCTCATTCAATAGATCCTCGAATCGATATCATTTATAAGTTTATACATGCTCTCAAGAGATCTTGCTAAAATCTTGTTATACTAAATATTGTCCTTGCCAGTTGCCACCACACACACACACATATATATATATTGAAAATAATCAAATTTATAGTAGAGCATATATCCCAATGTCGTGTTCACTCTGTCTTTGCTACATCAAGGTTTGTTTTACTTTTCTCCACCTTAGTATTAGTTTACAGAAGAAAGACAAATATGTAGGATAAAATGAGTTCACAAACTTAATTTTCGGTCAAAATTGGATTAATACATAATACACCCAGTCAAATTAGATTTAGGATAATATTACTACAGATTAGGGTGCTTTGGTTAGTTGCTTCAATTTAGTACACCTCATAATAGCACTTGATCCTTGTGGACGTTGGTGCCTTGCTTGGTAATTATAAATATTTTAGAATAGAGGTAAAGTAAGAATAAGAACAACATCTGGAATATATTTCTAATTAAGATATATTTGTTTTTTATATTTAACATTAAATATGTAGTAAAAATTGTGGATGCCGGAAAGGCCACGATGGAGAATATAGGGCAGACAAGAAGCTTTGGGAGACGATTTGTAAGAATTTCCTCAAAGGCAGACGTGCGAGTAATCACTTTCATCTCCCAAATCTATTTGACTCTTATCGTGGAACATTTATAGATTTCTTTCCTTGCTTTATAGAAGTGAATGAAATATAATTTAATTTAAATTATTACTTATCTAGCGTGACATATTTATGTGATATGCCAGGAGAGAAAGAAAAAAAAAAATTGAATGTAATCCTAGCGTATTGAAACATATTATCATGTTGTAAAATTGCAACGATTTACTTGTTTAGAAAAACAAAAATCGCAACGATATTTTATGACTAAAACTCTCACAACTTAGTTGGTTGTATATTGATTTGCAATTTTTTTCTTGCTATCTAAAAATGCCCAAAAAAAAAAAAAATTAATTGTGTGATATCTCTATGTTTCCTCCTTCGACACATTTCTTCTTAAATTGGTGGGATTGTTTTTGGGGTCAAACTATTGCATTTTGCTAAAAGTTCCTTTGATTCTTCACTTATGCTTGTTAAGTGGTAATATTTTTGTAATAATTATGTATAGTGTAATCTTACATCATTACCGAAAGTGGATTTTTAGGACGAGATTCCTTGTCTACTTTATATTCTTTTATTACTTAATTATTACAATTTCGTATTCATTTTAGAATTCATGAGACATGTAATGTAATAGCGAATAAGAATTGGAAACAGATATTTTGAAAACGTACAAATATTATGTAAAATGTATTTAATAAAATATAGAACATAAGATTATGGTAAGAGGAGATTTCAGATGAATCTTTTTTAATTAAACAGAAACAAAGGTAGTATAAGACAAAAACAATTGAGAATTTTGTGAACTCTTCTTTGATGCAGAATTTTTGGCTATCTGTGTTGCCTTAAAACATACTATGGATTTCGGTTTCCGCAGACTGCAAGTCAAGTTTGTATCACAAGAACTCATCCGATCCATCATAAGGGAAGACCATTAAAAAAAATATCGATGTTAAAAAAGTGTTTTCTTCAAAATGGAACCGCTATGTAATTTTTCATTAGTAGGAAGCTTTATTTTAAGATATAAATAGAATTTTCATTCACTAATTTTTCTAATTAAATGGTCCGAAAACATTTGTACCTATGATTAATTAATTTCACTACAATATATTCGTTGCTGGTTACTATACCACTATTTTTTTCAGTTATAACATACTCTAAACATGTTACCATTATTTTATTATAAGTTGTTTAAGATATCCGGTCAACCAAAAATTTTTAATAGAAATATGTGTGTGTATATATATATATATATATATATATATAACATAGCGAATGTTTAGATAGAATTATATAGAAATAATCAGGCAAGGTTGGACGAATCTCATACTGCCATGTATAACTTGTTTAAGGAGAATCTTGTAATGCCACACAAATAATGTAGAAAAATTTAGCAACACCATTTGTAATGTAGGATCCACAACTCAACTCTTGGGAAACCTGCTCATGGATAACTGTTTTTGTCTGGTTGGATTGATTTAGAAGAAGAGAGAGAACAAAAAAAAATTGCATCGATCCACTTACTAATTACTATTATTATTATTATGTTCACAAAGAATCAATGCCAAAATACACGTTGCATAGGAATCAAATTAAATATATAATGCTCAAAAAACACGTGAGCAATTTAAATGAAACGAACTAATCGATTACATACATATACATAAGTTACGAACCCTTCTAATTTAAATATAGTTGTTGAATGGTTTCGACATTTCAAAAAATTATTTATAGACCAAACCGAACTCCGGTTCATAATTATAGATCAAACCAAAGTGTCCACCTCCTACATATATCATATATGCCCTAACATTTTCTCTTAATTCTCTTACCATCACTACATCTTTATCTCTCTCACTCTCTCTCTATTACAATGGTGAAGCAGACAGGACGATACGCTCTGTTTCAGGCGACGCCGGATTCTGAGTTCGTGAAGGAGACATACGGAGGTTACTTCAACGTCTTCGTGTCAGCTTTCGGAGAAGAAGGAGAGCAATGGGATCTTTTCCGTGTGATCGACGGCGAGTTTCCCTGCGACCACGAGCTTGAGGGGTATGACGGATTCGTCATCAGCGGGAGTTTGCATGACGCTTTCTCAGAAGAAGATTGGATCATTGAGCTTTGCTCTGTTTGCCACAAACTTGATGTGATGAAGAAGAAAATTCTTGGCATATGCTTTGGTCACCAGGTTTCATATCTTTATCATCGAATGTTCTTTTTTATTATATAAACTATAGTAGATCCTAAAAATATAGGATTTTAACTACTTGGTAAGTTATTCATGAATTATATATATAGTTCTTGAAATTCGAAGAATGTACGTAGATGCATGTATATACTGTTTTGCCTAACCTCACAGGCTATGTTGTAGACTAGTGGTAGACTAAATGAATCTAGATTTATTCAAAGCAATTACTTTAAGATCATTGTGCATAATTAATATTATATCTACTTATGAACTATCAGTATTTCTCGTGGAATATGAGAAGTGAACAATATCCACCCAACAGAATCATATTTTTAAGAAGTGAAAATGTTATAACATATAAAAATATATACACACATATATGAAAATGTAAGAGAGTATTATTCAAAAATCATTGAAATAAAGAAAATGGGAAAGAATATAAACCAAAATGTGTTAAAAAACAAACTATATATTTATATTAAAATTTGAAATGGTTAAACGATATATATGATACATATTGCTTTATAATTTCTTACGTACTGTAGTATCCATTTTAGTACGAATATATATATATATATTAATTATTTATCAGAGAAAAAACTATGTATATGTATATATACAATAGTCTTACCAACAGGGTTAGCTGAATTAGTTTCACCTACACATGGTGATATATAACCCTCAGAACGATATAGCTTACGTTTGTTTTTTTGGATTTAGATTATATGTAGAGTGAGAGGTGGGAAAGTGGGAAGGGCTCGTAGAGGACCAGACTTAGGCCTCGGTAACATAACCATCGTTCAAGATTTGATCGAACCGGGTGGTTACTTTGGAGAAGAAGTTCCCGAGTCTTTGTCCATCATAAAATGTCACCGTGACGAGGTACTTGAGCCTCCTGAGTCGGCCAAAGTCATTGCATTCTCTGGCAAGTGCGACGTTGAGATATTCTCCGTCGAAGATCACTTGCTTTGCTTTCAAGGCCATCCCGAGTATAACAAGGAGATTCTCTTGGAGATCATTGATCGTATCAACAAGATCAAATTTATCGAGGTTAGTTTAGACTTTTATCTCCTCTTGGTTTAGGTTAATCCTATTTCTTATGTTGTTAAATCGTTGAAGGTTAATTGTGATCATAATCTCTTCTTGCTTTACTAGATCCCTAGCTAGCACATAGCCTGGATGACTATGTTTACAAATTACAAGGATAGTTAGGTTAGGGTTGGTTTAGTTTGATTTGCGAGAAATACTTAAAGGAAAACCAAACCAAACTTATCTGTAGTCCAGTTTCTTTTATGTCCCTAATCAATTATATGTATTTCAAGGTTCTTGCTTTAATTTGTTTTCGGCTTGTTTTATTAATTGATCTGATGACTTTTTATTAAGTTTCGGTTTGGCTTTAGATTGGTCGGTCTCTTGGGGAAAATATTCTACTCCATTTAAATTCTGTTGTTTACGGCTAATGCGAGGAATCTATGAAATAGAACTATGTGTTTTTATTTAACTAAAAATGTGTAGGAGGAACTTTTGGAGAAAGCTAAGGGTTCGATAGAGAAGATCGAACCAGACACGCATCGATTGCACATGCTATGCAAGAATTTTCTGAAAGGACGAACTAACTTCGTTTGACTATTCCATGTTCATGGTCTGGTCTCTAATAAAGCTACTAGTTTCTGTAAATTCATAACTATTATATGGTACGGTGATCACATATTGTAACATATGAAATAAATTATCTACCGAAAAGCAAAAGACTGCGGTTTGTAATTTAGTGGTTTATCTCACATCATTGAAACATATTAAACTAAATGAACTATATGTATTGATGTTACACTTATTTTAATGATGCGAAGGCGTATGAGAGTTCAATTTCTCATTTAGTAATGCAAGCAAGTTATTCGATAGTATTATTATTTTATTTTATTTTCTATTATGATCATAGACTATTTCCAAGAAAGAATTTTTTTTAAAGAAGAGTTTGTTTGATCTTTTGCTTTGATTACATAACAGATATTAATGAATTAAAACCAAGCAGTTGGTCAAAGGATGAGAGATGTACGTAATCAATCATCTTATAGGAGAAAATGTCTTTGAGTGGGTAAGAGAAGTTAATGAAGTTAAGAAAATTACGATTGTCATAATTCGAATTCTGGACTAAACTTAAAAGAGACTAAATTGCAAGTTTGATCTCCGATAAATCCTTCTTTCTCGTCCACTCAGGGGATGTGGTTCTTTTTTTTTTTTTTGCGCCATGAAGTGTTTGAATGTTTGATATAACCTATTACCTATGAATCTAGTAAAGTGTCAATTTGGCATTATTACAATTTTATAATTGTTAATCAATTAGTAGTGGGGAAAACGTAAAGGTGATCGCCGACAAAAAAGGAGATGAATTATTATCATATGTAAATGTAATAATCTTATTATATAAACTACATCTTTATTTCAACAAAAAATAACCAAATATATATAGAACAGTGATCTCCATTCATGCATACTCCATATCTAGACTTTGTATCATCTATTCATAAATGGAAATCTAGGCATGGGATATGTGATGAGCCTCAAAACAAGTGTTGATTGATTCTTTACTTAAACTTTATAATTAGCGGTGGAGTTTCTTTCGTATAGACAGCTATTATATTCAAGTCTCACATTTCTCTAATCTCGACGTAGGATTTCTCCAAACTGATTTGACTTTTTTTTTAAAAAGAAAATTATTATCAAGATTTTTTCTATAAAAAAAAAATTCTCACTTGGCGTGTCTGATCGTGTTCTCCGTCATCTTTCACAGCAATTTACATTCTCCGAATCTCTCTCTCTCTCTCTCTCTTTTTATATTTCTTCTTTCTCTCCCTCTTTTTTCTGCATCCGTTGATCTCTGAAGAAGAAGAAGAAGATGGTGGAGCAGAAGAAGAGGTTCGCTCTGTTTCTGTCGACGTGCGACTCCGAGTTCGTGAAGAAGACTTACGGAGGTTACTTCAATGTCTTCGTCTCGACTTTCGGCGACGAAGGCGAGCAATGGGATCTGTTCCGAGTGGTCGACGGCGAATTTCCCGACGAGAAGGATCTCGACAAGTACGACGGTTTCGTTATCAGCGGTAGTCCACATGATGCCTTCGGTGACGCCGATTGGATCGTCAAGCTTTGCTCCGTTTGTCACAAACTCGATCAGATGAAGAAGAAGGTTCTCGGCATCTGTTTCGGCCACCAGGTTTCTTCTTCTCGCGTCTTTCATCGAATTTTTGTTTTTTCTTATGTTTTTCCATTTCTGATTTGGACTTGATCGTTTGGGATTCTTAGGGTTTTAGAATGTACTACACATCTTGGTCGATGATAATTTGAATTTGACATTTTATTTCTCAGATCGATCACATCTTACATTAAGCTCATTTGATTGATTTCATGGTCAAGATAGTAGAGTTCTGTATCAGGAATTATCTGGTGAAGAAAATTAGTCAAAGCCCCAGAATTTTGTAATCTAGTTACTGGGCAACTATCACATTCCACTTGTTGCATTGCCATTTTTTTAGATCTTCATGATATTTTTAAGTTCATGTTCTTCTTTTCATGGAATTGCTTTCTCTGGAGTTTGGTTTGATCGTTTGAAAATTGTATCTTTGCAATTCATTATCTGTAGCTTGAATATCTGAGGAGAGTCAAATGCTTGACATTGTTGAATCATTTTACTGCTTATGTAAATCTCCCCTCTAGTGGAATTGTCCTTTGTAAAATCTCTTCTTGATCATTGGCGTAGAGATAGTATTTTTGGTGACGTGCTTAGTTCTTATTGAATTCTAGCTTTTGTTGTTTCAGAGGGTGTTTTGTTAATGAATGATTCTTTTGTTCTGGAATTTTTCATCTCCAGATAATCACTAGAGTCAAGGGAGGGAAAATAGGAAGGGCTCGTCAAGGCCCAGACATGGGACTTCGAAGCATAACCTTAGCAAAGGACAATGAAAAGCTTGGAGCTTACTTTGGAGAGGAGGTCCCGACATCTTTAGCCATTATCAAATGTCATCAGGACGAAGTGTTGGAGCTCCCCGAGTCTGCCACAGTTCTTGCCTCCTCTGAGGTATGCGAGGTCGAGATGTTCTCCATCGAAGACCACTTTCTCTGCATCCAAGGCCATCCTGAGTATAACAAAGAGATTCTGTTTGAGATCGTGGACCGTGTCCTCAATATGAAGCTTATGGAGGTTTGTTCCTATTCTCTTACGATAAAGAAACATTTTGGCAGTGACAAGTATTGCAATGTGATCGATCTTTTCTGTGTTTTTTTCTTTCAGCAAGAGTTTGCGGATAAGGCCAAGAGTACGATGGAGACTGCACAACCAGACAGGGTTCTATGGCAGAAGCTCTGCAAAAACTTTCTGAAAGGCCAATAATCTTGAACAAGTTTAGTTTGCTATCAAAATATGCTATCTCATGATGAACCTGCAATTCCTCCATATTTGTCTCTTCAAGAAACAGAAAGAAACACATAAAAACCAATCGCAAATAATCATTTATATAACCACCTTTTTCTTATCTTAGTGTTGCAGAACAAATCAAACAATAACAAATAAAATTAAAAAATTCATTCCGAGTTATAAGAAGCTTTCAACGATTACTTATACAGATTTAGTCAGCATCTTTGTTTTGTTAAGGTTCATCAGCAGAGAAGTCAGGTTCTGAAGGCTTTTGAAATTTCACGAGTTCTGTAGTAGATTTTGCTGCAATACGGTTCTTGTGAACTTTCCGAAGTGCATTTGCAGCAAACTTTGATGCCAAGAACGTCGCTCTGATGCTAGCAACCGACCCTTCTCCTTCTCCTGCTTCTTCTTCTTTCTTAAGCTGCTCGAGTTTCTTCTTCTTCACGTATCTCCGCCACGCGGCTTGTATAAAAATAGCAGCCCAAGTCCTCCATTGCTGTGAATAGAATCTGAAAGTGTGCTGGACTTGCCTGCTGTGCAGTCTCCTGAACTGGCTAGCCACGAATTTGAGCTCATCGGCTATCAAAGCGAAAGCCTCTACTTCGGTTAGCGCCTTTGCGGTTCTGGTGGAGGACGGTAGGTTTGAACCAGATTTGGGATCAAGTGCCCATGTCAAGAGCTCCTCGCCGCAAAAGTCTCCTTCTTTAAGCAAACTCCGGTTGAAGAAACCGCTTCTCCCGCCATCAGTGGTCACACTCTCGAGCCGACCACGGATTATGAAGAGCATCTCATTAACCGGGTCTCCTTCCCGAACCATATAAGAGTTCTCTGTGTACAGACACGGCTTCAAACGTTCACATATTGCATCGAGCAGCCTCTCTTCCATATTCTCAAACAACGGAACCTTTTCATAAACAAAAAAAGGAAGAACAAGATTGGTTTCATTGATGTAACAGAAAAAAGGCCTTTTTTTAACATAGAGGAATCAACTTACCCTTCGAACCAAAGCTAGACATAGATGTCGTTTGATATCTCTTCTCAGATCCTTTGGCAGATTCTGAACCAAATTCTCCTCATCAACTCCGCGTGTCTCCAACCATTTGTACTGGTCATATCGTCTGACTCGTTCCCGCAGGTCCGGTGGAAGCATCCGATGATGCATCCACTGTTCTGAGTCACGTCTCTTCACTCTCATTTCTTCAAGCCGGATAGTAAGCGATTGGAGATAAGTCTGCATGTTCCCAATGAGAAGAGCAAAGAGTAGAAGCCCAGCGATAGCAAGTGCTATGGAGAATATAATCTCTCCAGGATATGTGCTTGTTTGAAGCCCTTGACCAAGAGTGCTGCATTTAGACATCGACGAGGTTGTTATAAAATGTCTCTGTTACTATAAAGACGGATTCTTTTTATAGTTACGTACCTGAGATTCTGAAGTCCCCACCACAAACAGAAGAAGTACTTAGCTACAAAGCTCTCAGATGAGACAATGCCAGAAGACAGGGCTCTTAAGTAGATTCCGAAATCAAAAGGAGGATTGTCATCATCGGTCACATTGAAGGGACAACTTGTCTGGAGAACTGATTCCTTAATGGTACTCCAAGCAGCATAACCAACCATGTTTTCATTACCGCAAAACAGGAAGTTTCTGGTACAGTTCCCGCTATTAAAGCAAGCCTTCTTCCAGCATCCGTTGATGCGTTCTAAAGCCAGTAAGTACCATAAAGCCCCAACAATCTGAAAAGTAATCACAAAAGTAGAGTTATATAAACCAATGGTTTCTAAAATATGAAAGAGGAAAAGGGTACCAAAAGTAGTAAGTACTGACATGACTAGCAAGCATGTAGAGTAGCAAGTAATAAGCTGCACCAGCCCAAGCGGTTTCAGCAAACACACCAGCTGTTCTCTTTAGCTCTGAGCTTAAAGGATATATCCGGATAAATCTAGGAATATATTGAACTAAAATGATGGATCGCAACGCTTGCTTTGTTGCCAGCACATTTGCACCTCTAGAGGTGTACAGAAATCTCCAAACTACAATCTGGAATAACAACAACAACAACAACAAAATGACATAAACTAGTCATCAAAAGTTTGAAAAAAGGAAATGAAAGAACTTAGTTGGCGATTTCTTGTTATTACCTGTGGAAGTGGAAGCACGGAAAGGAAGTCAACGATGAAATACTGCTGCAAATACCGTTTTGCTATCTGTGCAGGGTCGATCACAAGCTCGCCACGCCCAAAAACCCGAGAAGAAGGAGCAACAAAAGCTGTTCTAAACTGTAGAGCCATGCGAAAAAGATAAAACACATCGACTATCGTCCGCAGAGTTGTTGCTATGATAGCCAATCTCCGGTCTATGCCGATACATTTCTCTTGATCCATAACAAACGGAAGGTACAAGAAGAGCGGATCAACAGAGACCGCGAGGATGCAAGAAGTAACGAAAAGCTTGTTGCAGAGCACAAGAAACTTGTCCTGTGGATCGAATATCTTCTTCTCTGATACTTTAAGATCTTCTGGAAAAACCGCCCGTGAAACCCCGAGACCGATTGATCTTCCTAAAGACCAAAGCCCTTTGGAACCTTTTCTAAATCCTTTCTTAAAGGAACCAGATGATGCATTGTTTCCCTGAGCACCACCACGTGCTGGTCCTTGTAAATTAAGTGTGCATTTGTTAAGAGCTGACTCAGAAGTCTGCGAGTACTTAGAATCCATACTATCCAACCTGTGAAGAACAAAAGAAACTAAAGAAACCCTTTTATTTTTCAAAGCAGAAGTAAAGAAAACTTCTAAAGTCTTATATCGTGTGTCAAGATGTTACAGAAAGTGTTAAACTTAGGATCAGACCAAGATTACAATAAGAAGAATCCTTTAAACTAAGTTACCTTACAAACTTCTCGAGTTGGCCACTGATAACTTGTGATTTCACTATTTTTTTGCCACAGTCGAACATGCTTTTTCCCTGTGACTCAACTCATGAATCACAAGTCTTAACCTGCTTTCACACACAATAAAATAGTCAATAATCATAAAATAATTTCAAGCACCAAATCCAAAAACTCAATATTTAAAAAATTTTCGATGATATTTAAAACACCAAACATGTGATGTTTGTTTCCAGAATTTCTCTCAAAATCATTCGGTTAATTGGATTGTTTCCAAAGCCAGAAATGGAGTAAAAGAAACAATTTTCGTTGACCAGGGATACAAATTGACGAAGAACTTTCAAGGGTAACACAAATTCCTCCGAGTTTAACATCCAGAAAGGGATTCAAATGAAAATCTAATACTTCAAACAAAAAAAAGGGATTTTTAACATCAAACTGCGCAATCTGAAGAGAGAAAAGTGTAGTCAAAAGAGAAGTACGAAAATCAAAGAACATTCCACAGAGTTATAAGGTACTTAAGTAAGTTGAGAGGAAATGTAATGATACCGGAGAAGAAGAAAGACGGTATAAAGACGTTGCAGGCTTGATTAGGCGGAGACGACGTTGAAGAAGAAGAAGAAGAAGAAGAAGAAGAAGAAGAAGAAGAAGAAGAAGAAGAAGAAGAAGAAGAGGAATGGTGGGAGGAGACGAAGTCGTTTGGAAAGAAAATGGAAATGAGAGAAATGAGAAGAAACTGTCTCCGTGCCGTCCGGGTCGGGTCCACCCGCTCTTACTGCCTTCCCATCTCTCTCATCCATTTAACGTTAGTAAATAGTAAATACTTTACTATACACAAAATTACATATATACAGTGAATTATTTATAAGAAATCAGTTACCAACTTTGATAATTCTTAAATGTTTCACAAAAAAAAAATACAGAAAGTTTGCTAAACAAAACAATAGTCTGACAAAAAAAATACGCAAACAGTTTACAATATTTTTCTTAATTTTACGTGGACTTTAGATGCTTCAAAAATATTATTTAATTTTTAAATGATACCTAAATTTTCCATTTTGAGAAAAAAAATCGAAAATTTCCATTTTGAAAACATATATTCGTTGTAGCTTTTATTGTCGGTTGGCAACTTAACTAATTTCGATTGAAGTACAACAGATTTTATTGGATCTTTGCTGGATAATATTTTTTTGTTGTATTTAAATCGTCGGAGTCAAATAGAAATTCAAGCAGTAGAATGTTCTTAACATTTGGATTTGGATTTTGTACCTTTTCAGATTATTTTATAATGATGTGTGAGAGAAGACCAAATAAAAGAGAAAAGCCTAAACATTTCTCAACTTTAAATCCTAAAAAGCCATTCCAACTCTCGCCCATGCATCTTCTTAACTCTTGAAAATTTAAATTCATAAAACTGACATTTTCTTTAAAAATCACTCAAAATCTGAACATATTTTTGTTCTTCCACTTGTAAAAAACAATTAGCTTCTCACTGTTCATCAGAGACGCTGCAAAAACAACGTTTGAGATCAGCTCAAGAGATTCATAGATTCCTCAATCTTGTTTCTGGCCTCGTTGCAAAGAACATCCGCTTTGCTTCCATGTATCGGCTTATGGATGATAACTTTGACATTCCCATGGTTTAGTATACCTTCACTACCAGTCGGCATGATTTGGCCTGTTCCCATCAGCGTTATTGGAACTACTGCAACTCCGGTCTTAGCAGCTACCGTAAATGCGCCTTTCTGTAATAATTACGAAGCGACTTATGTTACTCTGTGTTTAACACATAGACCAGAACATGATCAAAGATCTTTGGATTGTGTTTACCTTGAAAGGACCTAACCGGCCATCCTTACTACGTGTTCCTTCAGGAAAGAAAAAGACAGATGCTCCTTTCTTTACGAGTTCCATGCAGCGTTTTAAGCAATCCTGCAAACGAGTTAAAAGAGTCAAGAGTTTGACAAACAAACACTTGAAAGAGTGTGGGAGAAACAGAGAATAATTACTTACCACTTGGCTTCTTGGGTCCATTCGCTTCAAGGGAACGACACCCATCATGGACATGGCCCAACCGATAATGGGAATTACGAATATCCCTGTCTTGCTGATGAACTTGAAGCTTTTGCCAAGACTGAGAAGTGTGTATATATCCAGAAAACTTTGGTGGTTTGAAACATATACAGCAGGAGTGTCTGATGATGGCAGATTCTCCAAACCCTCGATGTCGATTCTATAAAACGAATAGATGCTTATGGAAGCCCAAAGTTTAGCAATGAAGTGATGGAATTTTCTCCTATAGCGATCCAAGACAAGGACGAGAGGATGCCCGATTATCATCGGGACGATGAGAAAAATGGCAGAAATGGCAGCAACCACGCAAAAGCATATCCCTCTGAGTCTTGAGCTCAACTTAATCTCTGCACTTCAAAGTTGAAAGAAAAAGAGAGAATTGTGTATAGAGACAGAAAAAAAAACAAGGCTTAAATCTAGCAAAGCAGGTAATATTCATTCACAAAGGTTTAGCCAAAAAAAAAAAACCTGGTTCTGGAAAAGAAGATTCAGGGGTTGCAGCTCCTGAAAGATCCGATCTCACAGTGACAATTCTTGCCAATTCACTTAATCTATGTGATTTTTTATCATGATCTCTGTAAGGATACCAACTCAATGACCGGTTACACCATTGTACTCCACTACTACGCCTTGTCTCGCCAGTAATTTTTCCTCTCGGAGCAGCTAAAGAAAAAAGCAAGTAATGATTTAACAGATCCATCTCACTTCGAAATAAATAAAACCTGGATGATGAGTAACTGAAGATCCCGAAGAACCAAAATGACAGAGTATTATAAATAATCTACAAGTCTTTATATTAGAGCAAAGACTGATTTAATAACTATCAGCAACAGAACCGCATCAAGAAGGTATGTTCTTCAGAATAGTGCAGATAAGAAAGAAAACCCAATTTGGTATTATCTTCTTCAGATATCAGAAACAAAATCTTGATTGTCTTACCATGAAAGGAAGTACTCAAGCTCGCCATACCATTCGAAATACGACCAAAACAACATCCTTTATCCCGCGAGATCTGCGTTTTCAATAGGTTCATAAGATGAGAACAAATTCATAATCTTACATAGAAGATAGAATAAGAGCTTCATGCTTTGAAAGTTTCATTGTCAACTAATTCCAACTAAGAGCTCAACAGAAGCAGATTTTTTTTTTTTTTTAATTTAATGTTCAGATTTGACAATGAAAAGAACTTAAAAGCTTGCTAGTTCACTCCATATTTGGATAAAACAGAAAGAAAATCATGAAGTTAAAGTCCTGATATCAAGCTTCCATTGCAGATTACGTTTCACTTTCCATCATTTTCTCAAGAAACTACGAACGAATCAATCACCCAAGAGTAAAGAATTCGAAAAGAAAGATAGTCAACCACGAAAAATTTACCCGGATTAACGATGACTGTGATGAACAAATGGGTTTAGCATAATCTGAGAACATAATTAAGAGAATTGTTATCGCGAATAAATCAAGTTTAATATTGACAAACGTAGTCAAGAAAGATGGAGATGAGAGTGTGCCCATACATGGAGGATGTGAAGAGACGCCCCGAGCAGAAGCGACATCCATGGCGGAATCTCGAGCAAAACATCCGTGAGATTTGCTCATGTAATCTGTGTCATCTTTTCAGGCTTTATCTCAGGGCCCGTTTCTATACTGTTTTCACTTTCTAAATATCAACTGTGTGTCGTTTTATGCTGTTCAAGCGGCGGATCGCATTTTCAAATTTGAGTGATAGACTGTATGCCGTTTGTAGATATTTTAGCCAGTAAACTACAAGGCTTTTTTCAAGTCATTGAACAATAGCCCATTAGCAGCGTAATTAATCATATTTTACATCATTCATCAGTTTTTCAACATTACACGGTTTATATTTTTTCAATTTCCTTAAAGACAATGATTTTATTATAAATTCACTACTTTCACGGGAAAAATGGTTGTTATATTTTATTTGCTTCAGAAACGGTGACATGAAAATTCTAAGTGAAACGCGCGTGTATATTAAATATCGTAATTAATTTAGTAATTAGGATTGACAAATTAATTAAAAGTCAAAGATAGAGGAGAAGGAGACTCTCTGCAACTTGCAATACAGAAATAAATTGGAATAACACAATTATCCACTTGGTCTCATCTTAACAACTCCACCATTAGCCAATTCAGCAAAATCAGGGACACACACATAAATATCAAATTTTAAGATTTTCTTGGACGTTATCGATGAGCTTTGTTTTAATTACCACTATCACTCACTACAATCTTTTCGATAAAGAAAAATCGATGTAGTTTCTAAAACAAGAATATAAATCACCTAAACTAGCTAGTTGAGATTTTGAAACGCTTTTTTATTAAATGATGATTCAAATCACAAGAATAAAGTTTTGAGAGTGAATATCTCAAAATACATAACAACAAAACAGAAGAGATAGATCTCTTATGTTGAAAACTAAAGGAATTGGAAGAAACTTAAAACACTCTGGGAATAAAGAAAAACTAAATCTTGCTAAACAAAATGAAAACGATAAGAACTACATTCTCTCGACCAGTCCTCTCTAAGCCATAGCCAAACCAATCGCAACCGCGGTCAAGAAGGTCAAACCGCTTCCAACGTTCAAGCCAGTCGCAGCGTTATGAGCAGCAGCTGGAGCTGGAGTTGTAGCCGGAGGACTAACAGGAGAAACCTTAGGATAATTGTTGTCGCCACCAGGTTTGCGTTCAGACAAAACAACGATAGTAACCTTTTCACCTTTAGCACAGTTTCCAGGAGCACCACTTATGAAGAAGTAAGCTCCTGATTTCTCAAGTTCGAACTTTGTCTCTCTATCATTGTATTGCTTCAAGGGTTTTGCTGTGTTACAGCTCTCGTAATCTTCCTTTGTCACTTGTAACACCGAATCTACTTTCACGTCGTATTTCCACACTATTCCACATGCATGAATACATCAGTATATAAAACCATATTTATACATCAAATATATATGATATAACTGCATGGAAACATCCTTCCAGAAGTCTAAAAGATCAAGTAAAACAAAATATTCGGAATATAAATGGAACTCTCTCTCTCTCTCTCTCTCTCTCTCTCTCTATATTTATTATTTTTCATTTTCTATCATTAATCTGTGGAATAATGTAAAACCATATTATTGACAAAACAATCTGCTGATTCCACAATTTTGTAAAACCTTTTGAGAAACTCTATCAAAAATGAAAAACTATATAGAATAGAACGGTAAAATCATTTGAAACATTAAAGGATTCCTATTTCATATTTTTGTCAGTATAATCTTGCGTAATAGCTAATATCTATATTCCACAATTATGTAAGATTTTATTTGTGATAAGAAGATTGCGATAAACAGAATAAAAGCCATTCATGCATCAGAAATATAAAAATTAATAGGATATATAGTACCGAGAATGTCGCCGACTTTGAAACGATTGCTCTCGGCCCAGTGGTTGAGAGTGTTGTTGGGACAATCTGGAACCTTCCACGACCCCACAGATCCACCGACCAGAATCTCCCTCGGTTTGGAGGCTGCATGGCTCACTGTAGCAAGTAAGAGGAAAACAAGAGTCAAAACTGGAACTATGATTCCCATTTTTCTTTAGACACTGCCTTCTTTATAAGTACAAACAGCTCTTTGTTATTCTTGTTTTTGGGTTTGGAGTTTGTCTCTTGTTTGTTTTGTTTTCTCTATTGGTGAAGATAATTGGAGGAGGTGGATGCTGTTTATATACTCGTTGTGGTTTGGAGCTAATCGTATTTTTTGTGTGTTCTGAGATAGGTTCGGGAGATCCGAACCGAGCTTGAAAAATATGGTCTTAATTAGTATTCAAGCGTATGTTTCTCTAATTTTGCTAAATAAATGCCAGCTTTTACTCACCTTTTACAATACAAAAATTATGTTACATTACATGGAAAGAAACTAAGATACTTGTTATGGCTTAATTTCCTTTAACACTGTTTCATAGTTATCCATTTTTATCAAATTTACGTATCCAGAAAATCCAGGCTGAGGCTACCATGCTGAATCTTCTTACTTAAACCATTATGCCACCATGTATGAGTTGTTATTTTATGTTTATCCTATTTTTAAAAATTCATACTATTCAATATTTAAAATATTTGTTTTTTTTTGTAAATATCTCCAATTGTTTATTTTCAGTTTAATACTATGTTTTTCAAATCATAAGGAATCTTTATAAATTTGAAAATGTTTCAAATCATCACACAGAATTGTATGATAAGTAAAGAAACATAACGTGCCGGAAGAAAAACACCTAATTTTACAATATAACGTAACAAGTACCAATAATGTAATCTTTGACCTCGTACAATTTTATTAATTATTAACAGCTAATAAAACAGTACATTTCTCTCTCGTATTACTATTCATAATTTTATTTGAAGCAAAACAATATACAAATACGGTAACGGTACTTGTAGTTTGTATACGTTAGGCATGAAAATACTCGGAGCTGTAAATGATATTTGATAGTTACGACTTACGAACCGTTGTAGTCAAAAACAAAGCACATCACAATGGTTATTACGAAAAAACTACGTAACCGAAATAGGTTGTGTTCCAATCAAAATTTTTGGAGGATCTATTTTTAACAATGAAAATAAGAATTTTGTATTTAAATAAAAATCACAGCTGATCAATATGATTTTTAACAAAAAAAAAAGCAAATTTAAACATGATTATTATTGTCCACTTATGTGATTTTTTCTATGTCGGATTAATGTTTGTTCTGATTTTAATGACAAATTTATTTAAAATAAAAAAATTAAACTTTCATTCCATAATTCGTAACCTGATAATCAACATATTTTGTATAAACAACTTTGATAAATACATTTGCTTGCAAAAAATAAATACATTTGCCCTATGTGTTTATTCATAATTTTATAATGTGTTATCTTGATCTCTGTCATGTCTTGAATTTTGATATTTTTCGTGTTTAAATGGAAATTCATCGTGTTTTCAGTTTTAAAAAATGTCGAAACTATAAAACGTAGTCAGAGACTCAAAACAAAACAAGGAGAAAAGTGTGAAAAAGGAGCATTTGCCAACTTGTTTAATTAAAGCAAAATGATAAAGATAGTTTCATAAAGTCAGAACTTTAGACCCACAAGTTTTTTTTAAAAAAAAAAGTCTTGGCGATTCACAAATTGGCACCTAACAACTTTTTGAACTTATCGGCTCCCAAACACATGTTTCATGAGCCTCTTGCCCGGCTCTGATGATGATGGTGATGGTGATGGTGATGATGATGCTTATTTGAGAAGTGTCTTGACTATGGCTTTGACATTTAGCTTCTTCAGGTCAGGGTAAGACTGGCCACAACCCACAAACATAACCGGTGCTCCTGATATGTAAACCATCGATAATGCTGCTCCAACCTACAAAAGCCCGTCCCAAACACTCGTTTACATTTCATACACAACATTTAAAAGATCAAAGCCAACATCAATCCTACTATCAATCTTTTACTGTACCTTATCGTCAATGGTATCGAACTTTGTCAGTAAGATTCCATCAATCAATCTTGTGTTCCCAGAAGTGGAGAGATCCGAAAGTTTCTGAATTTCAGCAAAAAAAAAAAAAAAAAAAAAAACCGTTCATAAGGTCCCCATTATACACCTAATAAGAATCTAATGCGGGTAAGAAACTGAACCTGATTAAACTTTGAGAGCTGGTCAACTGCTTCGTTCCCAACAAGTGCTTCACCAACAAACAAGACCAAGTCAGGGTTATTCAGGTTGATGAGCTTTGAGAGAGCTCTCATCAAAGGTTCATTATCCTGCATCCGACCAGCTGTGTCAACAAGAACAACATCGGATCCATTTCGAGTTGCTTCTTGTATGGCTTCTTTAGCAACCACTGCTGGATCCTTTTCATAACCCTTTTCAAATATCGGTACCTGTTGCCAAATTCCACCACCCAATTTTATAATCAGTTTTTACACCATTAATCAAAGATTCTTTGAATGTTAAAAACACAGATAACTCATTACCTGCAACCTACGAGCATGAGTCCGTAACTGCTCAACAGCTCCAGAACGGAATGTGTCACAAGCAGCCATCATTACACTGACCTTATGCTGCAAAAGCCAATACGCCACTTTGGCCAGATTGGTGGATTTCCCAACTCCATTGACTCCAACAAACACGACCACATAAGGTCTCCTCTGTTCTTTGGCAGCATGAACGTCTCTCAATATATCAATGGAACGTGTTGGAGTCAGTATACGAATCAGAGCATCCTCCATTGCTCCCTGAGATCATATGTTTCACCACAATCAAGCCATCTTGAGATTGCAGAGTGACATGTTTTCTAGAATTAATTAGAGCTACAAGGACAAAGCACAACACCTGAACGGTTGAAGAGATCCTTGTGAACGATGCCAACTTCTTTCCTTCAAGACTTGCTTCCACTGATTCACAAAGCTTCCCGGCTATCTCTTCAGCCTGTGAATGAAAAGCCCAAGCTCAAGTAAGACACACACCCAAGTCCAAACATAATAAATGATGCTACTGTATAGACACATACCACATTCTTGGTCATGAGCCGTTCCTTCAGAGCCTTCAACGGCTGTTCAAGGTCTGTCCTTTCAAGATTCGCTTTCCCAGTAATACTGAACACAAAATTACAGTATATGTTTAATACTCGATGATAGTATAGATTAGTAAACTAGCAACAAAATTCAACAAGATAAACGCTAACCTTTGGAAAACTGAAGAAAACCAGCCTTTTTTCTTAGCCTCAGGCTTCTCATCACTTCCTGGTTCGTCATCATCTTCACTTTCACTATCACTGCTGAAAACCTCTTCCTTGTCCATCATACTTTCTCCTTGGTCAGCAGCCGCAATATCTACATGATCGTTGCTCCCATTTTCATCCACGGAATCCGTGAAGTCCAATTTCTCTTTTTTAGGAGCTGCATCATCCCAAACCCTATTTTTCTTTGTCGCCTTTTTGGCTGGTTCCGCAGCTGTTACCTTGGAACCTTTATTACCTATACTGTCAGCTTTCCTTATACCTCCTCTACCTCTTACTCCTTTACTCCTTAGTTTCTGAAGTTTGCTTAAATCAAGTGCAACATTATCAGTCGTGTTTTCTTTTCCGTTAGCAAGATCAGTCTTCTGAGAATCATCTTCCATCCTATGATTACCATTGGAATGACCATTCGTCAAGTTACCGACTTTAGCTTTATTACCATCTCCATCATCTTTTTTCGATCCACCTTCGCTCATCTTTTTGTTCCCACCTTCAAGACCAGCCTTTGAGACCTGCCCTTGCTTCTTGACACTGCTCACAGGCTTTCCCACCACTTGCTTTGTCTTCCTCAACTCCTCGGCCCGAGCTTCAGCTTCCTTCCTCAGCTGCCTAAAAGTCTCGTCGAAGTCATCATAAGCCATGCGTTTAGGATCATAGATCTCAGAGAAGCTTTGCTTCACCACAGAAAGCAAATCATCCACATAAAGCAAGTGGAGAATCCGCTGATAAACAGCGACAAAGACAAGACCAAGATCATTGTGGAACGTCCACTTGAGAGTGTAGGCAGCACCATGAGCATCGTAGTTGAAGGAAACATCCCCAGATCGTTCCTCAAGGAGACAGGATCGGATCAAAGTATCGATCGGTGATCCTTTCAGAGCATTTCCAATCTCTTTGCATGTCCAAAGGATTAAACCTCCTCTGGTAAAGATTAAAAGCTGTTCCAACATCTTCGATCTTCAATTCGTACCCTGAAAAAAACATATGATCTTCCAAAAATCAAATCCCAGAGATAACAAAAGCTGAACGAATTGAATAAAATCAACACGCAATCGTCCAAATTCTAAACCTTTCTCTGCATTAAAAAGCTCTTGCGATTGAGAAAAAACAATATCGAGAGAGATAAGGAAGCAACCAAATTCAGAAATTCAGAAATCTCAATCGATAACCTCAATCGATACGGATAAATTCAGAAATCGTGGCAGATTTTAGCTAAGGAAGCAACCAAATTAACGGATCAGGAAACGCAGACAGCAAATCCTAAAGAGAAATCGCTCAGAAAAGCAAAATTGAAGATCTTAGTATCTACGGATCTTCGCTTTGAATACGAAACTCAAGAGATTGAGAGAAGAATAAATCGAATCGTAGAGTTCGGGAGAGGGAGGATCCAAACCTTGATTCCTGTCGTTTCTTGATACAATTGCCCAAAAATAAAAATTATAACTTTACAGGGCGAGAGAGACGACGAAAAAGAAAAAGAGAAAAAAAGGTGAAAATTATGATCCACTATTGATTCCCTGTTATATATAGAGGGTTAACATTAATTCTTTTTTTTGGGGTCAGATGACTTTCTTTTTTTTTGGTCAAGGGTCAGTAAAAATTTAATTAATTATCATAGTTGGGATTTCTTTCCTTCTAATTTTTGTTGGAATATGAACAATAAGAGTTTCTTAATTTTTTAGCATATTACAGAAGAGACTAAATAGGTATTGTAACTCAATTCAGACACGAACCAAATTTTGTTTAAGTAATAAGAAAAAAAAACAAAAGAAAATGAAAGTGAAACCGACTTTGCTTCGTGGAAGGTGTTGATGATGGCTCATGGACGGTGTGAACTGTGAATAATGAAAGGAATGTTGTTGATGTCCCCATTGACTAACGAACGACAGACGAAGAAAATCCAATGCGGCAACTATAAAAAACGCTGCGTCTTAATGTATGTCCTTGCCCTTGCTCTTTTGCATTGGGTAAAAATGGCCATGGGCTTTATAAAGGCCCAACTCACCACCTAGTTCATTTTTCTTCTGAAACATACTTACCTTTCTTTCATCTCGTTTTTCCATTAGTCTCGTAGGTTTGTTAAACGGAACTATTCTCCTACTACGACCTGAATGTTACTCCCCATAATAAAATTTATAATACACAGATCGAAAATTTGACTTTGGGGGATATAATAAGGTTCTGAAATTTTTTCTCATATAACAATATAAATAATGGTAATGATGATGATGGTAGTTATTAACTAATTCTTATGAGAATGTAGAAAATTAGCATGGAAGTTTTGGTCCATATAGCACAAGTTGTAATGGCTTACATTATTTACCCCTATTAACCACGCCAATTACACCGTTGTTAACCATTGAATTAAATCCACCGTTGTCAGCAATTGAAGTAATGTTTTCTAAACGTGAATTTGCATCAAATCCCCAAAAATAGATCGTGCGTGTAGCATCAAATTCAATCATGAATGATCGCAATTCCTTAGGATCTGCCGATCGTTACGCCAGCTCTTTTTATTGTTTTTTGACTTCGATGGTTCAAAGTCTACTTGTTAGGAATATAGTATTAGGGTCGCAATCCCCATTTTTTCATAGATACACTTGCGATGTGACTTTTAACATTTAATCAAACTCAATTGTGTGAATATATTCGAAAAGCTTTTATAAGTTATCGTTTTCGAGTTTGATATCTCGTTTAGAGAGAAAAAATTAAGATTACAAACCTAATATGATCTTTTACTCCCATAAAGCTCGTTAGATAATTATAGTCACACCTATCTATTTTTAATGTTTTAACTTTTTAACTAAATCTTTCTCTTTTGACTACAAACAAAAAAAAAAACTTTCTCTATTGTTCACTGTAGATAAATTAGTGATGATATCTATTTAGAATCTATTAACTTCTCTAATTTGATATAATTAAGAAAACTTGTATAGCTAGAAATTTATGGAAGAAACTAACTTCCGTTCAGTTTGAAGCTGTCTAAGTCACAGTCACACTTAACGGGCTACCGAGTTTTTGACTTTATTGTCCACCTAGTTGTTCACCAATTAGCAACTATAGATATATATTATTATGCTTTATTATAATCAAGACAGTCAAATAATTCCAAAAATCACTTAAAAGTTAATATTGATAGAAATGTCTGTATACTGGTAGAAGTGTATCAACTACGCCTATTACAGTGTAAGAAGTAAATAACTTGCACGAGGGGATGAGAGAAGAAGATAAAATAATCATTGTGCAATATTGCATTTATGGCCTTAATCTGCTTCTGATTCTATAATGCATATTTATATGGCCTTAATCTGCTTCTGATTTTAAATCATATCTTCTTCTGAATTCAAGATCCAAATTTGACTTCGAATATTAGAAATGTAGCAACTGTTATATATACATATACCCTAAAAATGTAATTGCTCCACATGAATTTATAAAAAAATTTAGATGTCTGAAAAGTTCTAGTACTAGCAGCAAACAATAAGGTTAATGCGGAATATGCATAAAAAAACATGGTTCAATATGATGTGATCGATTTTTCTTTTTTCCTTAGTGTGATCAGAGCGAAACATGACATATCCTTATCACATTCACCGAATTTGTCCCGACAGAATTCTATGTGAGAGATGTAATACCACAAGGTCAACAACTAATATCGGCCTAACCAATACATATATAGTATTTCATCAAATTGGTTTATGTGAGTGATGTATTATACAAGCTCGTGAATAGTCCCTACATTGGCTATATATATATACAAGCTCGTGAAGAGTTCCTAAACATACTCATATATATGCCAGTAAAAATGCATTAACATATATAGAGATAGAGTGAGTGTGTGAGCAAGGCCCACTCAACAGCTGGCCAACCTACACATTGTGTTATAACTCAGCAATACACACATTAAATAAGAACCTCCAAAACCCCATCCATCAATGTCCATACATCTCTCTACATTCACACGCATATAAATACATACATACGTACATACAATTATACATCTCCATATACTAAATGAACTAACACACAAACACCCATTGAAGAAGAAAAGTGGAGAGAGTGTGAGAGGACAACAAATTAATGGCAAGAACGCATCTCATTTTTCTTCTTCTTGTAGCTTTTCTATCAAAAACATCGTCATCATCATCATTACCTTCAAGAGAGCAAGAGAAGGACAGAATCAAAACACTTCCAGGACAACCAAAAGTGGCATTCTCACAATACTCAGGCTATGTCAATGTAAACGAGTCTCACGGTCGTTCTCTCTTCTATTGGTTGACTGAGTCATCTTCTCCTTCTCCCCACACTAAACCCCTTCTTCTTTGGCTCAATGGAGGTCAGTTTTCTCCACTTCAAAATCATTCGTATACATATATACATCATTTCTGGTTCTATAGCTTCTTTTTTTGTGGTCGTCTTGTTTATCAGTACACATATTTTAGGGGTTTCATAGCTTCTTTGTGATTATTCTTCTTGCAATCACGCATTTATATCCGGCTATAGTTCAGAATCGTTTAAAAGCGAATTTTAATCAGACCAAAACCAAACTAAACTAAAGACCGCTTATATGAATAAACATTTTCCTAAAAATGAAAAATAAAAAACGGAAACCAAACCGAATTTATGGATCGGATATAAGATATGGTTATGTATCAAAGATCTGTCCATAAGTATAGTCCTCATTCTTTTAGACAAGGAGACATAAAGGTAAAAGAGAGAGTAAACAAAAACTTAGTCCCAATACAATTTCATAAGACAAAAATTATGAGACCAAACAAGACATATCTACCTATTAGGCATTAATTACTAATTTGTGTATTTATTTTAACATAAAGTAAAAATCGTTATTTTGGATAAAAACAAACCAATGTCTAACCAAAATAGCAATAGCATATCAACCACCCTATCTGCCTCTCATTAATGGAACATGCACTCCTTTTCTTTCTCTCTTACGTCTTTATTTTTTTTATTTTTTTATTTATATTCAAGACCATTAATATTAATTACTACATAAGTACTCCACGAGCTTCGGATTTCGTACTCTGTGCAATCTATGACACGGATAAAGGCTTACTATCTTTGACTTTAACATTCATGACGACTATAAATAGCATACAGCTATAGCCATAAGAGATTTAGTTATACTAGTAGTGTAAATTAGAAGCCCACATGGGATCACCTCGTGAAGTCTAATCCCTCTATTAACCTAATTTATGATCAATATGTGTATCTTAGTTCCCAAGAAATCCATTTTTAAAAAAATAATAGTTTAATGCAATTATAAGTATGGGTTTAGCCTGATCAAATATAGCCTGATCAAATATAGTTTTCTTCTATGAAATTATTATATGTTGAGAGCTCTCTTGTCACTATCAGGCATCAACTTGTTCCTATTTGGTGCCTTACCTGTGCCTTTGTTCCTCTGTCTCTTCATTGGCTTCTGCTAGAAAGCATGGCAAAAAGATGAAATTACCTTTTTACTGCCTTTTATAATTAGATCCAACAAACATATATACATACACATTGCCCAAAAGCTTACTACTTTTTCGATTTATAATTAGTTTCTATGTGTTTTTTTTATTAGGTTTGTTCTTTGCAGTTTGCAATAGTATAAAAGTTCACCTAATTTTGGAAAGAAAAAATGAATTTGTTTCAACAAAAGCATGCGTATTCATGGAGGTCACAAGTTGATGACGAAAATGATGATGGCATTCTATAGTTGTGTAAGCACACACACACTCACGCCCGCGCGTGTATTTTTCACATTTTTGTGCGTATGTAATTTTATTTATTTCCACAAAATCAAAATATAGATTGTTTTTTTCGGGTCCAGAAATATAGGCGTCATCAAATATTCTTTTGATTTTTGGCCATTGGTTTTTATTTAATTTAATCATTGGTAGGAAGAAATTCGGAGCATGCACGAACAGAACATGCCATAATATGGGTCACAGTCCAGCTTGGACCAACTTCTTGAAAGTTAATCAAGAAAATTATAAGAAATTACTAGATTATCGAGATGGAGAATTTTGTATCTATATATCATTATCTGGCCACATGTAATAACATATGATTTGCTACTCATTTGTATAGTAAATAAATAGATATTGATAATGATTTAACTATTGAAAGATATATAATGTTCACTGAAGGAGAAGTATAACATATGATAATTTTATTTATATATATATATAAAAAAAAAACAAAATCCACAGGACCAGGCTGCTCGTCGATTGCTTATGGAGCTTCCGAGGAAATTGGACCATTCCGTATCAACAAAACCGGTTCCGATCTCTATCTCAACAAGTTCTCTTGGAACAAAGGTAATTACCTAATAACTTAACTTACGATCTTAACATCAAAACCAAAAATATTAACCGGAATATTATGGGGTTTTAAATATTAATTAACCGGAATGTTTACAATAACAGATGCAAACCTTCTGTTTTTGGAATCACCGGCCGGTGTTGGATTCTCATACACGAACACAAGCTCCGATCTTAAAGATTTCGGAGATGAACGAACAGGTTCAATCCATTTTCTTATTAATTTGTCAATCATTCATAAATCGACATGCGACGTGATTAGTATATAGTTTTTTTTTCTTGTGTTTTTGCCTGAGAAAACTGATTTTATGTCTTGGTGATAATAATCCGTATTACAGCTCAAGACAGTTTGATATTTCTTATCAAATGGTTATCGAGATTTCCTCAATACAAATACAGAGACTTCTACATCGCTGGTGAAAGTTACGCCGGTATGTCATTACTTACCAATATATATATATATATAGTTTGATTTATTCAAACTATATAGCTTGATTTTTATAAGAAACAAATATATTTTGAATTTGATTTAGCTAAAAAAAAACTCGATAATTCTTCTTTTGGTTTGAAGTTTTGAGAAATCAATTTAAAGTAAGAGGACTTGAACCAAGTTACATAATTTGGTTCGTTTTGGTCGGTTAAAAAGGTTCAAGAATTGCCTATTTATTATCTAAATTATTATTTTTACAGGTCATTATGTTCCTCAGCTGGCCAAAAAGATCCATGACTACAACAAAGCTTTCTCAAAGCCAGTCATCAATCTCAAAGGGTTCATGGTAATAACTAAAAATGAAATTACAAAAAGGTGTAATCTAGCTCATATCTAAAATGTGGGACAAATTTCGTAATTAACGAAAGATTACCACTCCTCATTTCATTTCTCAAGGTGGGAAACGCAGTAACGGATAATGAGTACGACAGTATAGGAACCGTAGCTTACTGGTGGACCCACGCAATCATCTCCGACAAAACTTACAAGTCAATTCTCAAACACTGCAACTTCACGGTGGATAAAGTCTCCGACGACTGCGACACCGCCGTTAACTACGCCATGAACCACGAGTTCGGTGACATCGATCAGTACAGCATTTACACACCAACGTGCGTGGCTTCGAAACAGAAGAAGAAGAAGACTGGTTTCTTTGTACGAATGAAAAACACACTCTTGCGTAGACGGTTAGTGTCTGGTTACGATCCTTGTTCGGAGAGTTACGCAGAGAAGTATTATAACCGTCCCGATGTTCAGAGTGCTATGCACGCTAATGTTACTGGGATTCGCTATAAATGGACAGCTTGCAGGTAATTAAGGCTCTTCGCTTTCACCACTTAAACCATGTACTGTGTGTAAATGATGATTTGCAAAGAAAATGTGCCTGAAAAGAAATGGTTTATTGTTCATTCTCTGGTGTGGTGCAGTGATGTCCTGATCAAGAACTGGAAAGATTCGGACAAGACGATGTTACCGGTTTATAAAGAACTTTCAGCTGCTGGTCTCAGGATCTGGATTTTCAGGTAAATTTAACTAGGGCACTGTGTGATTTGGACAATGTGTCTGGGACTCACTATTTTAGTTACTATACAAAACAATGGATTATTATTATACTGTCATATATGCAGTGGTGATACAGACTCGGTGGTTCCAGTGACTGCGACACGGTTTTCACTTAGCCATCTAAATCTACCGGTGAAAACTCGTTGGTACCCTTGGTACTCCGGTAACCAGGTATGATATAGATACATGAATGTACACATGGTTATATATATATATATATATATATATTATCATACACAAGGCAGTGATGTCAATATGGCGGTGATAGGTGGGAGGATGGACGGAGGTTTACAAGGGACTGACCTTTGCAACAGTAAGAGGCGCGGGCCATGAGGTGCCTTTGTTTGAACCGAAGCGTGCTCTCATTCTTTTCAGATCGTTCTTGGCTGGAAAAGAGCTTCCAAGATCTTATAAGTAACCTAAAAATATAGAGTAAGAGACAATGTCTCCACAGGGACAATTTGGATTAGGACCCAACTCCGAGTAAACTCGGAATTCCTGTTTTTTTTTTCTATTGTTTAAAGCTTGATGATTCATTTCCACAATTTGGAAATCACAAAACGATTTGAGAGCATTCAAGTAATTGTTTATATTCAAAGAAGTACAAGGGTTCAGATATTTCTCTCTGATTCATTAGTGTTAGAGTACAGAGCTCTCTGTTTCTTTCTGCCTGATTGATATACAAAGACAAACTGGACTTTTCATACCTGTAATAAAACAAAAAAAAAAAGATCTGGTTTTGCTACTTTAATCCATCACTGAGGCCAGGTGGCATGCCTAAGCTCTGGGCAAGATCACTCATTCTTTCTTTCATAGCCTGTGAAATCGGAAAGGTTCTATAAGCAAGAGATTATAGAAAAACAGTACTGATAGTTGAACAGTAAAATATGGAATGTGATTTATTTACCAGTACACTCTTTGCATGAGCGTCCTTGTATGCTTCTGTGACCAGTAGTGATAGTTTCTACCAAAGGAAAACATGAAACATGAGAAACTGAAGGAATATAGCTTTGATTCATTCCCTGGTAGAAGCAAGTGCAAGAGGAAGTTAAGTGAAGATTTACTCACTTCGGAACCTAATTCCATGGCTGCATCAGTGATATCAGTGCGGATTGGTTGCTGGTTACCCGATAATGTAACCTGATACAAATTCAAACTTTCAGGTCACATACAGAGATAGAATATTAAACATAGGACTACGCTTGACTGATTGTGTAATTATCCCTAAAAGCAATACATTTAGAGGTCTCAGTCTCACATCGATCAAGTGTTGAGTAGTTGGGGGAAAAAAGGTATCTCAATTGGAAAACAGGCTCAAATTTTGAATCAGAGTTGCTTATCGGCCTCATTGATATGAATCATTTGATTATAGAAGAATAGCTTGTCAGGGTGTGTAAATGATCTATTAAAGAATTTAGGAGACAAACAATCTGCAATAGTATACCTTAACAAGCTCGCCTTGACAATACCCATCAAATTCAGCACTGAAAAAAAAAAAAGGTAATAAAAGCAGAATGAAACTCATTGAGACAGAATTTAGTAATGTGAATGGTTGGTCAATGGGGACATACACAGCAAGCTCCTTCTGCACACGAACAGCCTCTACTTGGACAACCATTTGAGCTTTCTTCACAGTCTCATACAGATTCTGCATATTACCAAGAATTCCTGCCTAGCTTCAAACATAAGAAGCAACAACAAACTCATCAGCTCCAAAGGTTTTTTTTTACGCTAAGTAAATCCTCGAAGAAGCTTCTGATCTCAGCAACGGAAGTTTTAAACTTATGTTGGCGAGAAAAGATGATAAAACAAGGCAAGTCTGTAGAGATTTTTGACATGAATTTTTTTTTTTTTTTTTAAATGTACCTTTGATTGCCCATCCTGGTTATTGTCCTTCTTCCCGCCTCCAAATAATCCATTAACACGAAGAGACCTCTTATGGATTTCAAGAAGAGGATTCTTCCGATTTAACCATACCACGTTCTGTCTACTACCTCGTGGCGCCGCATTCCCTGAAAATTACCAAAGATTCTTTACTTATACGAAAGGCTGCAGACAATGATCAAACTGTAAGAATCTAGAGTTTTATAACTGAGACAACTTAGCATGATAATCACACTTGTGCTTGTCAAAATTCAGAACTAAATAGATTCTCAATAAACACTTAAATTCACACACATACCTATTGAAATAACCCGCGAGAGAGAGAGAAAGTAGTCTCCCAGAGAATATTAGAAACTAACCATTGGAGAAAGGAGAGAGGAAAGGCTTGAAGAAATCAGTCGTCGTGGCCGTCGAAGCCATTGTTCTCCTAAGAGAGAGCAGAGAGAGAGAAAAGTCTCGAATTGGAGAAGATAAAACAGAAAGGAGGAGGTATTTTCTATTAACCAATCATATAACGCCACATCATCATACTTGAGTATCATATTGGGCCCCCAAAACAAAGTCGATCATATGACAACCAAAAAAAACCCAAAGATGAAGAATCAAAGAAGCTCTGGTCAGAACAGAATGATAGGATCCAAACCTCGTTGGCAAAGATAAGTTTTCAAAATGAAGAACGAGGACAGATTTCTTAATAGATGATTGCATCCATTAAAGGGTCACTAAATCTAGAAGGCGAAACCATTTTGTTTTTAAACCTCGAGAGAGCTCATATACATATATAAACTAGTAGTAGCACCAGGAAAAAACTCGACTTTTTCGTTTGGTCAATTCCAAATCATACGATATGAATAAACGATACTGAAAAAAAGAACAACAAAATGGTAACTTTCTCTAAACCGAATCATCTACTTTACTCTCCGAGCAAAGCATATGATCAGGCACATTACCATCTTTCCCAAGAACCGAAATGTTAACCACCCGAGCCGATCTTCCAACGGTCGAATCCCATCCCACGATACTATCAGACACAAAAGCATCTTTCTTGATCAGAGCACCACGCATCACAGTACAACTCAACAGTCTCACACCTGATTCAATAACACATCCCGGACCAATCACAACATCAGGTCCGATCAAGCATCCTTCTCCTATAACCGCTGTTTCATCCACCAAAACATTCCCAACTATATGATCCCCTGTAACCAGTTCCTCAGATGCTTTCTTTCTTAGAGAATCTAAATACATTCTCTGCCCGGTTATGTAATCTTTTGGCTGACCAATGTCCATCCAAAACCCTGGAAGTACCATAGCGTAAAGCTTCTTCTCTGATGCTATTCTAGGGAATATCTCTTTCTCTATCGACGTCTTTCTCAGCTCAATCCTGTCTAGAACAGATGGATTCAAGAGGTATATCCCTGCGTTGATCTTGTCCCCTACAAAATGTTTTGGTTTCTCCACAAAACTTTCAACTCTCGCTGAAGCTTCTTCTTCTTCTTCCGTGACCACCACGCCGTATTTGGAAGGATCATCGACTTTGGTCACCATGATTGAAGCCTCAGCACCGTGAGTCTTGTGAAACTCGATCATCTCAAGCAATGGATATTCACAGATAATATCGCTGTTTAGTACAAAGAATGGCTCGCTTGATTCTTCATCGACCAGTTTATCCCGAGCCAGCGCCAGAGGCCCTGCTGTCCCGAGTGGTTCTGTTTCTTGAGAAAACGTAATCTTCATCTCAAGCTTCTTCTCATATTCTTTCACAAAATTCAACATGACCTGAGAAAATACACCAAAAACACAATATGAGGATGCTGACATTACACATGGTAGATAATTACTTAAGGACAAAATGTACCTCTGGTTGTTGGTGATTGATAGCTAATACAATTTCAGTCACTCCAGCTGCTTTTAGAGCTTCAATCTGTGGCTCATTCAACAGATACGCAAATTATTGAATCAAAATCCTTTGGAAAAAGAGAAACTTTGAAATAGGAGAAGAAGAAGCAAACCTTACCTGATGCAAAATCATTGGCTTGTTTGCAAATTCAACAAGCGGTTTTGGTGTGCTTAAGGTAAGCGGTCTCAGTCGAGTTCCTAATCCTCCAACGAGAATAAGAGCTTTCATTCTGTTACAAGTTGAAAAAAAATGAATTACGTTACGTACCTATCAAAATCAGATTATTCTATTAGATGATGACTTATATATAACTTGAAAATTCCTACAAATCTAGGATTACACATCAGTCTGATGGAATGAAAATTAAACATTTCTGTCTTTCTCTAATCACCATATATCGATTAGGTTCCCCATTTCTAATCAGAATTCTCAATGGAACAGTGAGTGAAGACACGATTTCTATCGAGGAATTACAAAAGACAAAGAAAAAAAAAACTCACATGAAAGAGAATGCAGAATTGAGAAGCTTGTGAAAATCGAAAATGATGGTGAAGGAGACGACCAAATATTACGATTACTCGCTAATCACAAGGGTTTTAATTAAGGATAATTCTGGCCCAGAGCCTATCCAAGGCTTTTCGCTGGGTTTTCAATAAAAATTTGTTTTAGTTAATTTTCTTTTCTTTTTGTTTTAAAACGTGTGATCATATTACATGACTAAAAACTAATTTTTTGGGATCATATTAGGGATGTTAATTAAGAAAATAAAACCAAATGACTAAAATTAAATTTGATTAGATTTCTTATTTCCTTTTTTTTTTAACGTCGATTCGGTTACTTAGTTCTTATTTCCTTTTTTTTTTAACGTCGATTCGGTTACTTAGTTCCATTTCTAATCGCTTAATTGGAAATAAATTTGGACACCATAAATTTGATGAGGTTTGAATATTTGACATTGTGGCAATACAAATTAAAAAAGGAAATTATAAAGGGTATAATGGTCAGTTTCTAAGGGTACATGAGTGAGACTGTGTGATATCCATCTGCATCAGGCAAATAATATACACACGCACACTCGAAAATATATATGATATAAATATACCCATATATTATAGATAAAAAACATATTATAAAATATTCTCCTTTCAAACTCCATAGTTTTCTTCTTCTCCTGTTTCACTGTTTGTTTCAACCCAACTATTTTTGTAGCTCTCTCTCTCTAGACCCATCTCTTTTATTTCTCTTTCTCTCCAAATTTCTCACATAGATATATCTTACAATAGTAGCTCTTAATCTCTTCAATGGCCTAGTTGTGCTTTTTAATTCAAATCTTTATCAATCATCAAGTCCACCTTAGAGAGACATAATCCTAATCATAAACACAATAAAGATGGAACCTTTATTGGTCAGCATTTCAATGCCCCTTCTGCAACTACCAAAAGGACACAACATAGAAAAAGTAAAAACAAAGAAAAGAAAGAAAAAAAAAAGTTTTGATTTTTTTCCTTTTCTTTCTCTCCTCTCCCTTTTCCATCTTGATCACTACTCCTAGTTTTCTGCTGCTTGTCTGGTCTGTCTCATAGACTCTTACAAATAAAAAGAAAGAAAAAGGAAAATCCAATTTTAATTTTCAAATTGCAATTACAATCCAATTGTAATGGGCACCCAAAATCAAACAACAATTATGTGGTGGCTTCTTTGTGGTTTCTTAAGTCTTTGGTCAGAGTTTCACAGAAGGAATAAGACTCCCACCATTAAACCTAATCCCTTTTGCGTTCTCATTCTTTCTTTCTTCTCCCATCAAGCTTCCTCTTTCTTCTTCCACATCTCTCTTTCTCTTTCTCGCTACTTTTTTTGCTTTGCTTCGTGTATCCGCGATTCCCAAGGTTTCACTGATCGGATCCGATGAAGGAGATTAAGAATGATTTCGTCTCTTCCGCGTTTGACGATCCCAGGATCAGGTTCAAGCATCAAACCCTTATGGAAGAATATCAGGAGTTGCGAAAGGTAATTAGGGTTTAATTGCAATTTTTGGTTCCTTATTTGTTTCAATTTCCTCTCTGGATCTGGTGAATTTACACGATCCAATTTGTGTGTTCTTATGTACTTTCATGAATCTGGGTTTGGAATTGTTCGGTTGGTTCCAATCGAGCATACGAAGAAAGAAATTAGAAAAAGTTTGAATTTTTCTGCTTCTTATTTCTTTCTCAGGAAACAGAGTTTAAGATGAGGAAGTTGGAGATGATGAAACAAAAACGATTGACCCTCGAGGCAGAAGTTAGGTAAAGTCTCTGATCGTCATGTGAATTCCGTGTTTATGATATAATAATCACATGATTAAAGCACATTGCAAACGTTTAATTGGCTTGTTTAGTACATTGATTAGCTTACTGATTGTTTTGATCAAAACGATAGGTTCTTGAGACGTAGATATAAACACTTGAAGCAAGACCAAACTGTTGAAACCTGTCCCAAGGTATTGAGCTTGTCAGAATCTGGGGATGTAGAGGCACCAAGTAAACCGAGTCGCAAAAGAAAGAAGCAATCTGGCTCAGCATATGTGCCAGGTTTTGATTTGAAGCAGAAGGATACACTTTGCAATAAGAAGGAAGCATTGGCTAATAACGCAAGTTGTGACTTGGAAAAGAATCCGAAAAGGAGCAGAGGAAACGAGGTTCTGACAAACACCATTCCACTTCCTGATCTTAACGGAGATGAAAACACTTTTGTCAGTGACAAAGTCTCAGGCTTTGACTTAAACCAGATCTCGGTAAAGCCAAAACAGCTTCTGTTGTTTCAGTGATTTCACTTCCTTTTCTTGTGTAAATGATCGGCTTTATTTGTGGGTTTTGTGTTCTTTGGTTGTAGAGAGAAGAAGAGGAGCCAGAAGCGAATGGTGAACATATGGTCGCGGAAGCAACGAAGAACGCAATGGTTGGTGATCTACATGGCGAATTAAAGTTACCGATTTGCAGAGACTTGGAGAAAGAGTTAAACAGAGCAGTGAAGAGGAAGGTTTCATGGCAAGATCCGGTGGCTTTAAGTGTTTGAGGTTGTTCAGTAAGAATGTGAAGTAGGATTGAGATAATGATTTTAGCCCAATTTGCACATATGCATTTAAGGGATTGATATATATTAGATACAACATGTATAGAATTAAGATTTGATGAATTTAGAAAGTCATAACTTTCATATGTCCAACATATGACAACAATTGTCTTAGTGACAACATTATCATTTAAATCCAATTTGGTGATTACAGAAATCTCATGTATTGGATGTTCTTACTCATTCTCTGTTCACACGCCATAATAAGTAACAACTAGACCTCTAATTGGTGCCTCTGCTTTACCATCTGCTCCGTTACAATCACCCAAAATCAAGAATATGATGATTGGAACAGGAGTGGGATTATATCCTAATGTTGCTCTAGCAGCTCTACCAAATACGAAAACTGTTCCAGAACTCTCTCTCTTCTTCTTCTTGTTCCCGGGTTAAGCTCAGATTCTTTAGCCGAAAGCGAAGGCGCTCTGTTTTTGTCTCCTTCATTCTTCGGCTAATGAAATTGTGTTGTTGTGTTGATACCTTTTTTCTTTTAATCTCTCAGGATAAATCGTGATGACCGTCGAGAAGTAGACCAATATTATTGAATAAAAAAAGGTTCGGTTTTGTAAATATATTAAACAAATCAATCCGTCTCTTTGCAACTCCACAGAGACAGTCAAACGAAAAAAACCCTAAACCCTCTTACTTAGGGGGCACACAAAGAAATTTAAAGACAGTAAGGAAATGCAAAAGAAAAATCACAAATGTTACAAAAAAACCAGAGGATGGTTAAACCTTGCCAAAAACAGAGAAGGTAACGGGCAAAGATCAATCACTTGTGCTAGATATAAGCCAGTTTTCAAAAGCTAGTTCATCATCGTAGAAGCCAGAGCGAAGCAGCTTCTGAATAACTGATTCTGCTCTCTCTTTATCTCCTCTATCAAACAACCCGCAAACCAACATTTTGCAATACTCAAACTGCGGTGAGTGACCACATCGAATAACATGTTCCAGAATCTTCACCGCGTCCTCGTACTTTTGCAGCTTGCAGCAACAGCCAAGAATCGCTTTAAAGACCATCTCACTTGGATGCGTTTTCTCTTTGAGCATCTGATCCAAAACCTTCTCTGCTATTTCTAGATTCCCGATTTCACAGCTCTCCAAAATGAGATTCTCATAACCCTTTGCACACCCATGATCAACCATCTCCTTGAAAACCTCCAAAGCTGAATCAACATCGTGTCTTCTAGAGTGACCGAGAATCAAAAAACGTAAATGTGGAATGATTAGGAGTCAAACCAGCTTGAATCATCTTACACAGAAACTGTCTAGCCTCGAGCAAATAACCAAGCTTGCAATACGCATTGATCATCATATTAGGTGTGTAAGTGCCACGAGAGAGCACCATACCTTGCTCCAACATATCTGTATAAACTCGCTTCATCTCATGGACCAGCTCGAATCTAGCCAAAAGATCCAACAAGGCGTTGTAGCATTTGGGAGTGAGCTGAGACTTGAACGTCCTAGAGAAACCAACGACAAACAAAGAGTCTAGCACCGAACCGCACATCGTTGTCATCAGTAAGAGGGTCTTAGGCACGTGGCAGGCGATTCCATATGAAGTCAAAACGTGGAGGATAGATGCATAGCAGGACACGGTTTCGTTGAATACGATGTTAAGATCGAGAGAAGAGACATCGGTAGGGGTAACATACGCGAGGAAGGATTCGAGGGAAGAAGGAGGATTCTTCTTCTGACATGTCCGTTGGGAGTCAATGGAGAGAAAGATACTTAGCAGATTGGAATTGTCCGATTTGGACACATGAGAAGGCGTTGTAGATGGAACAAGAGTCTTCTGCCTACTCGGTTCAGTGAGAGCCGAGAGTACGCTCTCTACTTGGAACTGTTTCACCGATGCGCTGGAGAACAGTCGACGACGGAACTGCGCCGGGATTCTCATTCCAGCAAAACTAGGGTTTGCGAGCTAAGAACCTTGCAAACTCTACTTTCATTACAAAAGTGTGGGGCTGCTTGGTTGAGTTGAGATTTGTATTTAGAAACTTTTAACTTATTTTAAAAGTTTTATAAGTCTTAATATTATTTAAGCAAATTCTTAGTTCCTAAATATTTTGAGCAAAGTTATATAAGTCTAAAAATTTAAGCAAAGTTTGGGGATTACAGAACTTAGTGACTCCAATTTGGTGATTACAGAAATCTCATGTATTGGATGTTCTTACTCATTCTCTGTTCACAGGCCATAACAAGTAACAACTAGACCTCTTATTGGTGTCTCTGTTTTACCATCTGCTCGTTTTAAAATCACCAAAAATCAATGTGGGATTATATCATAATGTTGCTTTAGCAGCTCCCCGAGATTTAAAAATTGTTCCAGAACTCTCTTCTTCTTCTTCTTGTTCCCCAGGTTAAGCTCAGATTCTTGAGCCGAAAGTGAAGGAGCTCTGTTTTTGACTCCATCATTCTTCGGTTAAAGAAATCGTGTAGTTGTGTTGATACATTTCTTCTTTCATCTCAGTATCTATTATTGACTTTATATTAATAGGTTTTTGATTTTGGATGAATTTCAAGAAATTGTCAAGATTTCCATTGAAATGCTAGTATTTGGAACCATGTATTTGGTTTATTTATTTTAATCTAAACTGAAAAAGTCTCTAAACAAAGACTATTCGTACATTTTAATCAAAAAAAACAAAACGACGAAGTTCTCTGTCTAATGGAAGTCAGCGACGGAGGAAAATATGAGTTTAGATTACTACAACTCCACAACAAAGTTGTAGATGTCTTGGATTTTAGATTACTACAACTCAAACAACAAAAGTTGTAGTAATCTAAAAATCGAATGTACAGAGACCAAAAGGTTACTCAACGAGAATACTAGAGTAAAGTAAAGCTTAGAAAATATGAATTTGTGGTTTATGATGAAACAAAAACTAAGAAAGACAAGAAAGACAATATAAGTTCGATTGGTGGAAGCGTAAACCCTTAGGTTAATTTGCAGGAAATAAAAAATTTACTGATCAGACAATAAAACAGGAGAAGTAACTAAACACTGTTCTTAAAAACACATTTACAGCTAAATCCATTAGCATGGTGCTGGAACTGCTGTAAATCCAATCTTAGTCTGGTCCCGGATGTAATTGAAGACAAGACATGCCTTTCTAGGTCCGTTTTTCACATGGCCTACGTAAACCTTAATGTGGAGGGAAAATCACAGTAAAAAAGATCTAAAGATGATCTCGTGTGGTAAGTTGCAGCATACCTTGCGTGTTCTACTCCACGTTGAAATGAAAAATATCCAAGGAGTGGGGTAAGGTTAATATACGTGATGTCGGCATGCAATCTGAGCCGTGCGATTCAAATAAACGAACGACGAAGATCTCTTTGTTGACTTTGTAAGAGCGTGGATCGTTCTTCACTGGATCTCTGTGTCGCTAACTTTCAGTGTTCCCTCTTTTCCATTAATTTCATTATAAAGAACAAATTCACGTCAAGAGTTTCTTGAGCTTCTCATATCTGAAAAAATGGCGAGCAACATGGAAGTTTTCTGCGAGATCTTAATCGCGATCCTTCTCCCGCCTCTTGGAGTCTGCCTCAAGCGTGGCTGTTGCACTGTAAGTTCTACTCGTCTACTGAGGAAAAATCCTAACTTTAGTTTTGAAAACAGATTCCTTGGAACTTTTTAGAAACTGAATCTTGGAACTTTTTAGAAACTGTAATATAGGTTTAGTTTCTGAGCTAGAATTTTCGGTGTTCTGTTACTACGAGGCTTAAATCTATGGAAAAAATGTGGTCCATTTGTTTTAGAATTTGGTGATTCTAATGAAAACTTGGATTATTAGCATATGACTAATGGTATGAGAAAGTTGGAGTTTTCCTGGCTAAATTTCTGAATTTAAATCGCAAAACGTCTCAGGATTGCATCAGTGTCTGTTTGATCACGTAGAAAGTAGATTATGTAGTACTAGAGAGTTTTAATTTTTAAATTTTGTTGTTGTTGTTGCAGGTAGAGTTCTTGATTTGCTTGATCTTGACAATCTTGGGGTACATCCCAGGCATAATATATGCGCTGTACGTGATCGTGTTTCAGAATCGTCAAGGGGAATCTCACGATTACAGTGCCCCACTCAACTCTGCTTGATCTCTATATATCTCTTGGTCCATTCCTCGGATTATATGTCCTTGGAACTGTTTACTTTTTTTTGTAATCAACTCAATAATTTGCTTTGCAATGTCATCTGTTTATTTTAATTATTATGTATTGAACAATGCCAGTTGCATTGAATGAATGAATTCTCACTATTGGCACCGAAATGCAACACCGAAATATATCTTTTGATTGATTCTCATCTTTTTTTTCTTTTGTAATTTCTTTTCTACCTTGCAACTCTGTTTGTAATCCAAGTCTTGCCGGGCCAATTACACTGCTGTTCAATCAAAAAAAAATATCTTAAAAAAATGATCTGGTGTGTTAAGCTGCACCATATCCAGTGTGTTCTGCTGATCCACGTTAGTAAAAATAAGGAGTGGGTGTAAGGTACGTGAATCACGAGACGTAACCTCAAGCCGTAAGATTTAAAATGAACGGTACAGATCTTGTATCGCAAAATAAAATAAAATAAAAAAAGTTAAGAACGTGGATTGCTGCTCTTCATCGGATCTCTGTGCTGGCGACTTTCAGTGTTCATTATAAAGACCAAACACTCATCTTGTAAGACTTTATTATCGTCTCAATCTTCTGAAAAATTAAAAAAAAAAATGCCGAGCAAGTGCGAAATATTGTGCGAGATCTTGATCGCCATCCTTCTTCCTCCTCTTGGAGTTTGCCTCAGGACTGGCTGTTGCACTGTAAGCTCTCTCTCCCTTTCTCTCTCTCAAATTCCTCGGAAGAGGATCTTCAAATTCCTTTATTTTTCTACCGAGAAACTCGAACAAGAATCGCGGAACTTTCGTATAGACTGTAATTTAGTTGCTACTATGAGGTAGAATTCTCAGTGTTCCGGTCTATTATGCTGTTAGATGCGTCCAATTTGTGTCCGATCTCGATAGAAAACCCTTCTTGAATTAGTTTCGTTTTATCAGATGCCTAAGTGATAAGTAGGAAAAACTGAAACTCTTGACTTAGTTAGTGTATGCAGTTTGATACATCAATATTTGGGTAAGAAAGCTCTGGTTAGTGATTAATGAAGGAAATTGAAAATTTTGTCTCATCACTCTGGTTTTTGTTGTTGCAAGGTGGAGTTCTTGATATGTCTGGTCCTGACTATCTTAGGATACGTGCCTGGCATAATATACGCGCTTTACGTGATCGTGTTTCAGAACCGAGAAGAGTATTTCGATGAAGCCAGGCGCCCACTCTACTACTCCGCTTGACCTTCTCTGTCGGAAATCTCTGTTTTTGTTCCTTTAACCTTTTTTGTACCTCAATAATAAGTTTGCTTTGCAATGTGTTTACTTAATTATGTGTGTATTGAAGAGATTTGCAAAACATTGTGTGTTAATACGTTTGGTTACCCTTTGGTTGTTACTTTAAAACAAAGCAATATTGAAGGTGAGATTGTTGGCTATTAAACATGCAAAATCTATAGTTTAATTCCATGAGCTTAATGGATGTGAAGGAGATCAAAATGTCAGATAGACTTTAAAATTCCAAACAAGTTTATGCTTCAACTTGTTTCAAGATTTTACATTTTAGTACAAGAAAGATAGGCCAGAGTTGGGATTGTTACGTGGAGTAGTGCAAGTGAAGCAGATTTGGTCATGGAGGCAATGGCTCTGTTCTTCTTCTTTCCTTTAGGTCTGATAATGGATCCACCTCCATAAACACCTCTTGCCCTGCTTATCTGAGAAATTCTTTCATAAGCTATCTTGCCACTAGTTACTCTCACAATTGGTCTGATCTCTGCAACAACAAACAATTGAAGCAACAATAAGAGTTAGAATGTAGCTGTATAGCTTTTCTGAAGTTGTTCAGCAAACAATTGAAGCAACTAATTGCCTTTTTGAACCGCGTAGACTGTTCTGTCTGAACTGCATTGAAGTTCTTCAGCAAAAGCAAAGGAGATGAATAAGATGCTGATGATTAGCAACAAATCACGATAGTATCTATTCATTGGCATGCAGACGATTATGAAAAAGATTCTGTCGTACGAAGGTCGATTTCTTTCGAAATTGTTCAAAGATGATCATTAAGTGGTAACCACTGAGTATCAGAATCTATATATATATATATATATATATATATATATGATTATGTCTGCACAAAGAAAGAGATGAAAACCTTAAGATGGATAAGTACAACTCAGAAACAGAACAAAGATTGAAAATCTGACAGGGCTTAAAGCAAAAGCAGCCATTGTCGGGTAAAATTAATCTTGATTCCCCACACCTGTGACCCATCTGACCCAGTTTCTTTCACTTTTCATACGTTCTCCGATCAATGGAGATAACAAAGACTTTCTTGGATTCCTCTTTCATCCCCCAAAAGATTAAAGAAGAATTTTGTTTTGGCAAAAAAAACAATCTTGTATTCCTCTGTTTTGGCAAAAAAAAAAAACTGATATACTCTTGTATTCCTCCTCTCTTGAAATTCAACATTTATGTTACAAATATTTTATTTTTTTCACTCTTAGTCTCCTAAGCATGGTTCGGTAAATGATACATTAGATGAACAATGGTTTTCTTATGATTTATTGTCTTTCGATTGAAATAAAAATTCTAACACGGATTTATTTTTTTTCTTTGCTGATACAAATCATGTAACGCGATGACAACAACATTACAAATCAAAATATTATTACAAAAGAAGAGGATGTTCACAAGAATATCATCAGCAGAACTGAGCTCGCGGCTGCGGAACCGAAACGGAAAGCGATCGAGAGACAAGGTCGCGAAGTAGCCGATGAACCACCGGAACCACCATTACGGACACGACGGCGACTGCGACGGCGATTCTTGCCAAAACCTCCACTACGAACTTTCCTCATGAAAACTCGAAGAGTCTCACCATGATCTGATGGATTGGAGTCGCCGTGTCCTGCAAGTCTTCGTCCCCAAGATGCTAATAATATTTTGGCCTCATTTTCTTGATTTTCAGATAAAATTGGCAAAGTTTGAGAGAGTAACAACAATACAACTATTACCAATGAACATATAAAAGTCCTCATTATATTTGGCTCTTCTCAACTTATATCCAAACAAAATTGAGAAAAAAAGAGAAACCAATTTGATGATGAACAATTAACCCCCAACTCTAATTTACAATTTAATGAACAGCTTTAAGATATTCGTTTCAGTAAGTGAGTTGTCTTATAATAACAAAATTAAGAACTTTTCTTGTTTGACAGATGAATGAGATTTTTTCTTTCTTTTTCATATAGGGCAAAACTAATGAAAATTGTTATTTATGGTCTATTGACTCGTGTTCTACTTCTACACCTTGCCTCGTCTACAGTTGACAGAAGAAATGAGATTTTTTTTCTTTCTTTTTCATATAGGCCAAAACTAATGAAATTATATTATTTATGGTCTATTGACTCGTGTCTATATTTGGATTTGGAGGCGTGCTCACCATGGAGTCATCGACCATAAATAATATAATTTCATTAGTTTTATCTCAAATCCGTCATTATTACGGTTTGATTGACTAAGTCAAATTCATTTCAAAACTTTACCCCCAGGTGTTCAATTAGGAAGATAGCAATAAAAATGATTCATTGTCTTGTATTATTATCGATGCAATTAACTAACACTATCCTCCCAAGAATTTATGGCTATCGATTAAAATAAGAAATTTCTTATGAGTCACCGATTATTTCTTTCTGATTAGTCAGCTCAAACGATTAGAAGAACATCTGTTAATCAAATTCAAACACGTACACCATTATGTCCATTACAATTTATAAAATTGTCACAATGGTTCAAGGTCTCAAATTTAAAATAATTTAAGGCGAAGAACACCAACAATTAACATGAAGCACGCAACCGTGGAACCGAAACGGAATGATCATGTGATCGAGAGACAACGTCGCGTAGTAACCGACGAACCACCGTCACCACTAGGGCCAGGACGGTGATCTGATGGATTGGATTCGCCGTGTTTTACAAGTCTGCATCCCCATGACGTCAATTTTACGTGATAGTTATTTACTTGTCAATATAAATTTGGCTTTATGGAATTTTAGGGTGCTTTGTTTTCTTACAAACGATAATATATATGCGTATACCTAGGACTTTGTTCCGTTTTTTTTTCTATCTTGAAGGTGAATTTGTGAATGTAGTTTTTCACTGCCGGCAAACTTTCAAAATTACGTTGGATCGTTTTTTTTTTTTTTTTTTTTGGTTCACTTTGATCGCTTATCGTTTGTTTATAGGACTCTCGAAGTGAGAAGAACAGCTAAAATAGTCAGTATTACAAAATAACAAGAACAACATGGGAATCACATTATTAATAGACAACCAAAGCAAACAACTTTCATATTTTAGCTAGAGAGTTACAAACTCAATATTTGCCGAGGAAAAAAAGAAAACAAAACAACCGCAAATACAAACTCAATCAACATCCAAATTCAAACCATTTGACGAGAAACGAGAAAAACCCACCTAATATCTTGGAAAATAGATTAGAATGCGGCGAGGATCAAAACAAAGGAACTTACAACAGTAGATAGATAAGTTAATGGGTTAGAGAGAAGAGTTCTAGTAGCCGATGACTTCTTCTTCTTCTTCTTCTTGCTTTTCCTCACAAAAACTCGAAGATGGTCATGGTGATGACCGTGAGACCCATCTGCGTTCTTCTCTTCATGTTCAACTAGTTTCCGCTCCAAAGGAGTGATCTTGGAATGTTCGCATGAAATTATGAGGGACTGAGAGAGTAGCAAGAGGGAGATGATCAAGAACCAACCAAGAAGAGAAGAACTTCTCATCTTTTTCTTCTTCTTTGATTGTATTTAATTGAATAAAAAATATTTATTTTGTTTTTGAATTATGAGTATGTGTGTGTGTATGTGTGTGCATGTCTGTGTATATTTATAGATTTGTGAGAAAGTAGTAGCGTCTCACTCTATACTTCGTGCATACAACCAAATTTGTAATTGAGATCTTTCCTCACAACAAGGCATTAATGAGATCAGGACAGCTCATGAGTGTTATTACTGTCCCGAGAGACTTTTTGGCACGTTCCATGGTCATATAACTTGGTCAATGTATAACAAACTCACATTTTATATGATTTACATCGTATAAAATAAGTGGAAAAACACTCGAAGATGTTACAAATCAGTGTATTAAAAAATTAAACAATCCTCAGCATATTTTTGCAAATAACAAAAACAAATTTGATTGTTCACTAACAAGCTTGATTTATTAACTTTAATTTTCTTTATTAGAATTTTTGTTATGAAATCTCTCTTTCAAACTTCAACAATATGAGTGAGCTTCAAACTATAGTATAATATATTTTGTAAAAAATAAACTTTTAAGATTAATTTATTTAAATTAGGCCCTAAGCCAATGTTTCTCAATGCAATAAAGTATTGTTTTTTTTTTTTAACATTTATTTCGTAACTTATTTTCTTGAAAATAAAAATTATTTTCCAAACTAGAATAAATTTTTTTCCGTTAATTTTTTTTAAAAGTTTTACGTAATGTAGTTTAATGTCAGATCAAAAAGCGAAGTTTATCAATTTGTATTGATAAATCTATGACATAAAATGGCTGATAAATAATGAAATATTCTATTCACAAAAAAAAAATGAAATATTCTGTTATTGCAATCTTGTGTACAATCTGGATAAGAGCTCTAATTTTATTTTTTATTTTATTTATTTATTTTATGATTTCTTGGATTCGTTAGAGAGGCTCTGACTCTGAAGTCGGAACTCTCAGAACTCAGAACTCACAGAACTCTGAAGCGTCATGGCTGGTATAACCAGCACCGTTGGGTTAAACGCAATTCTCGCCGGAGCAACCAAAACGGTGTCGCATCGGCGCTTCTCTGATAAAACTAAGCTCTTTGGTCTTCCACTCTATCTGGCCGAATTGTCAATTGTTTCTCTCTCGCCTTATCATCGCCGTAGCCCCGCCATCATCTGCCGTTACGGAGGCGGTGGCGGTGGCGGAGGCTCTCGATTCCCCGGCGATAGGCGAGGTAGGCAGAAAGAATCTGATGATGATGATGATGCGCTTGATATCTCGGCTATTAGGTAACTGTGGATACTTCAGTTGATTGAATTTTCTCTAGCTGAAGTTATGTGTTGATTGGTTTTGATGTATTGACATTTTTGGGTTTGAGTAGATCAGCCACTGTCAGGCTCATTGATGGTCAACAGAACATGGTAAATGAAAATGTTTACCTTTTGATTTCTAGCAAAATGGAACCTTTAAATTTTCCAGTTCCTTTGCTTCTGTAGATTGGTGTAGTTTCCAAGGAGGAAGCGGTTCGAAGAGCTGAAGATGCTGAGCTTGATCTGGTTTGTGTTTCTTTGAAAATCCAAAGCTCATAGATTGCCTTTTTTGTTCTTGAAAAGCAGGATCTTTTATGTTGTTTCAGTAACCGGAACTGGTTTTCAGGTGATTCTTTCGCCGGATGCAGATCCTCCGGTTGTTAGAATGATGGATTACAGGTAAATTATATAAAGTTGGCTGCTTTGTGCTCTATGGATTGTGTTTAGGGAGATTTCAAGGATGTTGATTCGTTTTCCTTTTGTTTAATTACCAGTAAATACAGATACGAACAGCAAAAGAGGAAAAAAGAACAGCAGAAGAAAAGTACTGATCATTCTTCTCTCGCAAACCAATGAGCTTACATACTCTGTCGTATTTACATGAATGGATTGTAACTGAAGCTTGTTCTTATGTCAGCTACTCGCATGGACTTGAAGGAGCTTAAAATGGGGTAAAATGAGCCATGTCTCTCTCTTTCTCTCTTTTGTCTTTGCCGTGGCGATGACTTGTATGGAACTTCTTCCTCTCAAAAGGTTTCTCCTTTTTGTTTCACTGATAGTTATAACATCGACCAGCATGATTATTCTGTACGCATGAGAGCAGCCAGGAAGTTCTTGCAAGACGGTGACAAAGTTGTTCCCATTTACCTTTTTTGTTTGTCTTACTACCAGAACATACATATATGGGCGAGTTATGCCCTTTCTGATTACATTTTGCTGCTGCATGACTTGTTACACACTCAGGTTAAAGTGATTGTGAACATGAAAGGCCGAGAAAACGAGTTCAGAAATATTGCTATTGAGCTCCTTAGACGCTTTCAGAATGAAGTTGGGGAGGTACGTATTGTATTTGATTTGGATTTGTGCATGCAAATTGCTCATGAATGGATAGTCTCTGAAGCTTGTCAACATCTGCAGCTTGCGACTGAGGAGAGCAAAAACTTCCGGGACAGAAATCTGTTTATTGTTTTGGTGCCTAACAAGGAAATTATTCGGAAAGCGCAAGAACCACCCTCGAAAAAGAAGAAAAAGCCAGCTGGTGATGAAGTTTCAGCGGCAGGTATAAATGCAACTTAAGATATTTGATGCGCCGGGCACAATTCGCTGAAGATATATTGTCTGGTAATAATGACTGGGAGTTTGATAAAATTTATGTATAGTTCCTTTTCAACGAATGTATCTGTCTGTAACCATAGAAAGATCTTTCTCAACTTTTGTGTATACCTTGAGTTTTTAACTTTTAAACTTAGTCATATAGAGTGTAACAAGAAATCGAGACTTATTGAGTCAGTAAGAAAGTTATCAATTATGAGTGATGTAATGTTACAGAATGAGTACACTACGACTTGTGTCGAGGCCAAAACAACTCGCTACCAGTAATCCCCGCAAGAACAGACACCGTCTTTAAAGTGATGGAAGCGGTTGGCGTCTCTTACAACTATCACTCTCTCTGTGATCTTTGAGATGAGTTTAGTTACGGTGTGACAGTCTAAACAGACCCGGAGATTCTTTATGATCCGGATTTCGGTTCCTGGTTCAGTGGCTATGAGTCCAAAGGCAATAGCTAGTCTCTCGCTGTGAACTTTCACCATCAGCTCTCTTTCTTCCTCCTCCACATCGTGCAAGGCCAGCTCAGTCTCGGGTTGATACCCAGCTTCCCTCATCTTCCCTTCGAGCTTCTCTAGCTTTTCATAGATTGCTTTCACCTGTGGATGCGACTGATCACCTGAAGTAAAGACATGAGGGGTCTCACCTATTTCTATTAAGGTATACCCAGGAGCCTTGGCTAGTTTCCTCTTCTTTGCCGTTTGTCTGACCGTAGCAGCCTGTGGATAATTTCTATCAGCTGAGTGAATATTCGACAGCAAAACATGGTATCCTACATTGTCTGGATCTAGCTCAAACAGCTTCTCAGAGACAGTACGAGCAAGGTTTGTGTCTTTGTGAATCCTACAAGCTCCTAGCAGTGTTTGCCACACGGAAGGATCCGGTTCAATCGGCATTGCCTCTATAAACTGCAATGCTCTCTGCAAATGTCCTGCTCGGCCAAGAATATCGACCATGCAGGCGTAATGCTTGACCGATGGTTCAAAACCATACCGGTGGATCATGGAATTGAATATCTCATCACCTTCTTTGACCAGGCCAGCATGACTACAAGCGTAAAGAACGCAGAGGAAAGTGACTGGCGTTGGTGCAATGCCGGAATTCAACATCTCAGAGAAGATATTCAGAGCTTCATGTCCTTGTCCATGGAGCCCATAACCGGAAATCATCGTGTTCCATGTAACTTCATTCTTCTTCGGCATCAAGTCAAACAACCGGCGCGCTTCTGCAATGCTCCCACACTTTGCATACATACCAATCAAAGCAGTAGACACATATATGCTAGACTCAAAACCTGTACTCCTTACTAAACCATGTACCCATTTCCCCAAACTCAACGTTCCTAACTGCGCACAAGCCGATAGAATGCAAGTTATTGTGATCGGGTTTGGACTAAACTCAGACTTCTGCATTTCTCTGAACAGAGATATCGCATCCTCTGTCAACCCGTTTTGGGTGTAACCCGAGATCATGGCATTCCAAGTTGCCAAGCTTTTGTCTGGAGATTCATCAAAAATCTTTCGGGCTGATTCCATCTCATTCAATTTACAGTAAACCGTGGTTAATGCGGTTGGGACAGATTCATGAAACAAGAAACCTGATTTCAAGCTGTAACCATGAATGGCATATATAAGCATAAGATGACCAGAGACAGGGATCAGACTCACCAGCGTGCTTGAGTTCAACCGTGTTCCTGATAACACCAGCTCTTTAAACAGGCTTAGGGAGAGCTCAGTCTCGCCATTTGATGTGTACCCATGAATCATTGCGTTGTATGCTACAACATCTGGTATACGAAACTCTCGAAACAGAGTACTTAACACTTCAGTCTTTCCACACTTGGAGAATACTGAGATGAAACCGGTAAGAACAAAATCGTGGGAGTAGCACCCTGTTTTCGTCGCAAGACTAAGGATTTGCAACCCGAGTCTCAGCTCCTGCAACTCTGCCACAGCGGGAAGAATGTTTAGTACCGTTGTTGAGTCCAAGCGGGTACAACTCTCGTTGATCATATCCCTGAAGATCTGAATAGATTCCTCGTACATTTCATTCTCTCGGTACCCAGATAACATGGTATTCCACAAAACTGCGTCTTTCTCAGGCATTCTATCGAACACTTTCCTAGCATCGTCCACCCGCGAAAACTTGAAGTACATCTTAACGAAGTTCGAGCCAACATGTAATTCCGAGTCAAACCCATCAACGACCGCTTGACTGTGAATCACACGGCCAGGTCTCTCGTCACGGAAACACGAAGCAGCCGAGATAGCGCAGGTGTAGGTGGAGCTATTGGGCTTGAGATCAGTGGATTTCCTTAGAAGGGCGAACAAAGAAAGCGAAGAGTGAGGAAGTTTATTATTGGAGAATCCGCGAATGAGGACGTTGAAGAGGAACTCGTCAGGTCTCTGGACGGAGAGGAAGAGGTCGCGAGCATAGTGAATGGCGCCGAGATCGGAGAGTCGTTGGGTAAGCTTCGTGAGCAATTCGATGTTGTTTCCATGGAGAATGATTTGAGCATGGGTTTGGTTAAGGTGAGAGAGACAAGTTAATCTCTTGAAGAGATCGAAGAAGTTGTTCTTGTTTATCACTGCGACGGTTGTCTCGGCGGTGGCGGCCGATACTGTCCGTAGTAGCATTTGGCTTTTTGCCTCTAGTCGAAAACTTAACGACTTATTTTAACTTCTTCCATTATCCGTTTTTTCTTTAATTTCAAATATAGAACAAACCATTAGTGAACAATTTTTTAAAAAAATTTACAAGAACAGTCCTAAAATTAATTTTTGTTGTGAATACTAAACTAATTGAGACAAAAAAAAAAAATGAAAACTTTCCCCCAAAAAGACCACAGATCAGATCAAAGCTTACATGTGAACTTCGGATCTTTCACTTCCTTTTTGCCTATACTAATGTTTAATACCAAAAAATAAGATAGAGAAACCAAAAAAAAAAAAACTTCAACAAGCAAAGATCAAAAAAGGATCTCCACAAGAGAATTAAAGAGAAATTTACAGGTAGTGTTGAGCGTGTGGAACTGTAAGCGTGTTATTTATATTATGGCCATGGAAACTTGCTTAATGGCAACAATGGAGGAGTATCCTCTGCATCTTCTTCTCTTTCTTCTCTCCTAGTTTGTATCAGATGAGTCCTAAGGCTACACTCTTTTATCTGTTACATGCCACCAAAACTCGGTTTCAAATCATATTCACAAAATTCATTCTGCATTCAATTACTGAATATTTTTTTTTGTTACCTGCATGATCGCCGTTGAGGCCAGAAGATCTTCGCATTTTCCTTGCATAGAACTCTCTTTCGTAACTACAACAGCGAGTTCTGAGACCATTTTATTCATCTCCTCCACCTGCAAATACAATCACAAAGAGTAGTGCACACGCCCTTGAGAGTTATGTCAAGAGGATAATTTGGAAAAATAGATTTGCTACTAAGAAAAGGTCTCACCTTTGTGAGTAAAGACCAAATAGACGATCCCATAGACTGCATTACATCGAGGGCCGAGGACATAGCTGCTTTCAAAGATTCAACGTCCGCCTGGAGGAAAGACAAGTTTTGAATGCTAAATCTATATTCTTGATCCTCTAAACTTAAATTTCCATAAGTACTCGCAATAGTAACAGTATTATTTACCTTTGTTCCTCCAGTCGCTGGAAGGCGGAGAGTATTTGCTTCTAAGTCTGCTATTGCTCCACCTAAAGAACTAACATGGTCTCTTTCAAGTGTGGCCCAATCTTCAAGGCTCACCATCTGTGCACATATTTATGCATCAGCATGGCATAATCTGATGAATGCATAGCCAGTCTACAAACAGACACAGAACCTACCTGATCGTTTAATAGTGAGTTGAGTTTGATCTCTAGCTTTAGCTGTTGCAGGCCAATCCTTTGGCTGGTCACATCATCCTGTAGTTCTGATATCGCGTGCCACACATTGAATAGAGTTTCCTGAGATATCAAAACTTGAGTTGTCAGATGAATTTTCATCAATCAGTTGAAGAACCGTTCATGTTGTTATAAAGGACAGAAGTATAATATACCTCCGAAGTTAATCGTTGAATGTACATTACAGCTTCAGCTCGCGCAATTGCAAACCGCCACTGTAAATATCGATTGTAGAGCAGACGCAGTTGATGAACGTCTTCGAGGTAGCTTGTCTTTTTGCCTTTCTTGACATCCGCGATGAAGCTGAGAACCGAAGTTGTGGTACTGGATTGTGTAGAATTGCTCGTTTGTCTTATCCGGGAAGGACTTACCCCTCTTGAAGGTGGAGTGGATGGTCTAGCAAAAGAGGAGGAATTTGTGACACGCGAAGGACTTAACCCTCTTGAAGGACTTAAACCTCTTGTAGGACTCAATCCTCTTGCAGGGCTTAGTCCCCTTGATGGACTCACTCCTCTCGAAGTACTCATGCCTCGGGAAATAGACGATGAAGACGAAAACGATGTTCTACTTGGTGAAGCAGGTCGAGATCCAGGAGCAGACGATGGATGCAGCCTAGCTACAGCAGTTGCTAAGGTTGCTCTATCTAGCGAACTTGCAGACAAAAGTCTTTGAGCCCCAGAAGTTCGAGCTATGTTATTATCTTCCGACTTTGTTGGAGACACTAATCCACTATTACTAGATGTGTTACTAGAAGTTTTATGCAAAGGTTTCGAACTGCTGGACAAAGGTAGTGACATTCTCCTAAGAGACGGCCCCATTCCAGTCCCTGAAGTTGATAGACTCCTTGAAGCCTTGTCGCCAAGATCCAAGCTTCTGTTTAAAGAATTCGAATTGATCTTTCCACCAATCCTACTAGGCCACCGATGCTGTTCTATTAACCGACTATGAGGACCATCTACAGGTTTTGAATTCTCTGAAAGGTCAGACGCACCATTCTTACCTTTGGATGGACTTTTTTTCCTCTCTGGGGTAGGTTTCCTTGATACAGATGTCGTTTCAGCCTTCTGCTTTTGAGCTATATTCGAAGAAGGTCTCAAAGTTCGATCAACAGAAGAACTACTAACCGGTTTCTCCTTCTTACTAACAGGGACTGAGACTGAATCAGACTGAAACGAAACGCTGAGGCTTCTCATAGTGGAAGGCCATAGGCTTTCAGGCAAACGACCTGTAGATAGCCTCCTAGATGAAGCTGGTAAGTCTATAGGCACATCACGTAAAGGCGTGGAGTGACTAGTCGGAGATGGTGGTGTTGAAGGACGCTTCCTCTCTGCTGAAACCGCTCTTTTTGCAGCCACGGATTGAGAGCTGGAAGACACTGTTGGCCTTGTGACGCTTGGGGAAGGGCATCGCCCGGTTTTGGTTGGTGTCGGTGATCTGTATCTTGAACTGACCTCTGTTGTTCGAGGACGGCGAGTGACAGCGACTGCATTGTTCTTCTCTGATGGAACAAGACGCCTTCTAGTAGTATCTGTTGCAACATCCATTCAAGCTAACGAAACAAAAAGTTGCATTGATTGTATTAAGCAGTTCACGCCTCACGTTTCATTCTGCATTCGAGGTGAACAATGGTAACAGCTCCAGTTGCTGTAAAGGAAGTCCCTTTATTCTGCAAGAAAAACCAAAGACACAGGAGAAAAGGTAAGATACCTACAAAGATAGACAATGCGCAAAAAAGAGCAAAATATATTGAACAGCCCGGATAAAGAAAAGTAAGCAAAAGAGACAGACGAAAAGAGAGAAAGGTGGGTTGAGTTCTAACTAGTTAATTGCAGTTATAAAAAAAATCAGGGATCTTTTTATAATCGAAGATTTTCAGAGGAAGAATCTTTTCCAGTGTCCTCATCACGGAAGTGCCATGGTGATGGGCTGGAAAATTAAATTGACCAAACTTCTTCTTCTTCTTCTTTCCATCAAAATCACAACCTCTAAAAGAGAACAAAAGAAACTTCCTTTACCACCTCACGGATAGTAGACTTACTACATTAGAAGCTTGAGATTTTAATAATTCGTGTCAAAATGTTTAACAATTATGGACTACAGATTTTTATCTTTCTCCGATTACGGGACCACGCGTATTGAGGAATCAAGTAACGGTGCCCACTCTCAGAGAACATCACTGGGTGATTGAGAAATTAAGAGAGAGAGAGAGAAAGAAATGCAGTAACAGTGATGATCCCTGGTGTTTATATTTTGACCATTTGAGAAAAACGTAAAATTTTCTCGGGAAAGTGAAGGATGAGGGACGAATATCAATACAAAACAACAAAATCTCGGATTAAGAAACAAAACACTTTTAACTGTTTCGAGTGAATGAAATGGTTTCTAACGAAGAATCCAAAAGGCAGATTTGTCTGTTACTCACCGACTTGTGTCTCTCATGACACAGACTCGTTTAATCGATCAAATTTAGTAACTTTTCTAGGAACAAAAAATTTCTCAATGCAGATTCACAAAATCTCAGAAACCGAAACAGGAATTTGAAGTGTCAAACAGGATGAGATTCGTAATTTCTATCAAATGATCAAACCAGAACATCCGTTACTTCTATTCCTAACAAATGAAATCTCAGATCGCAGTGATAAAATTCGATACTTTAGGGTTCTTCCGATTATGATTGAATCAAAATTGGGATGGATTGATAATTGAACGAGAAGCTAAAGCTAAGAGAGATCCGAGGAATCTAAAATTTGGAATGTAGAAAATCTTACCAGGAGAGATGAATAGAAAAACCCTTCGATTCCACACACACCCAGAAGACGAAAAAAAAAAAAAAAGCAATCCCGTGATTGATTCTTCTCGCGAAACCTTCTCTGCCCTTGGAGATCGAAATGGGAATGAAGGAAAATGCGATTAATGAACGAAGCTTGAAACAGTTAGGAATTATTTTTGACGGAGAATGATGGTGAGAAAAAAACGCCGGAGATTGATCGGGCGATTTAAGGATGGGTATCCTTTGCGATCAAAGAGAGAGAGAGAGAGAGGGGGCGTTATTTTCGCGCCACCTAATTTTGATATTAAGGAGTCTTCTCTTCTCGCAAATCGGAATAATCCCAAAAAAAAAAGAAATATTTCAATCAAGTCTTTGCTCGTAGAGGTCACTAACAAGAATACAAGGAGACCAAATATATTAAATTGATTTTTTACAAAGAATGTTTGAATTTAATGTAGTTTTCTCGACTAACCGGTCTGAGTCCAGTTTTTTAAATCGTTTCATTTCTACCCAAAACAAATTGATCAAAAAGAAACCAAATAACAAAAATAAAGTTGGTTTAAGAAACTTTAAAATCGTTAAGATTCAACATAAAATTTGGTAACCATAGAGAGATACAAAAAGAATAAAAATAAGAATAATCAGAAGGTCATATAAAACGAGCAAGTTACATTTAGGTGATAGTCAACCTCTGATAGGTTGTCCGCACCTCGATCCTTAGTGTCACGCATACGTTCGCAAAGAGTCTCCAAACACATAATTATGATCATGCGATTGTAAACTTTTTTTTTTTTTGTTTCTGGTACTATTGATCTTCTTAAGTACCATTCGATTACTTGTTGATGGAGTTTAGTTCTAAGAAAAAGGAACAAAAATGAAATGGAAAACAATCGAGACCAAAGGTGACAAGTTTATAGTACTCATGATGATTGTTTCGGGTTTTCTTACACTTTTTTTTTTACGCCGAAAGCTTTACATTCGGTTACTTTCCACACCTTAACCTTATATAATCATAAGTTATGAGGAGCTCGCATACAAGGAATAAAAATAAAAATTTGACAGAAATGGAACAATGATGGTTACTCATGATAAGTGTTTGGTCTCTTCTATTTTTTATTTGTCTTTTCTTCTACTTATGAAAATAAAATTTACCAAACACTTACGATTGCTAGTCCCCAACTGCGTTTCTTTATTTTTAATTTTTTTAATATTTTTTAGTTATTTTATTAGTTAACTCTCTCACTATTCCTCTATACAATATATGTATAGTTGACAAAAAATATTTATATGTATTGAATATCTTCTCATATAAAATATATAAAAGAATCTGAAATCACATGGACTGCATGCTATATGTTTCACTAGCTAGTCACCTTAATTAAGATTCTAATGGCTAATTGCATGATTTATTCTCTTAAAGCAGTATGTAAATTTCCCTCAACAATCGTCTACAAAAACAAAACTATAACCTTATAGTTAATACCTTTATAAAACAATAACTTAATACCATTATTTTGGTCGAGTCTGGTGATCAGATGAGGACTCTAAACTCCATAGTTAGTAACTTAGTATGATGAGTTTCAGTAATAACATTCAATAAAATAATTCATTTTGAAAATAGAAAAACAAATAAACCCATTTATTAATAAAAGAGAGATTTGCTCCCACATGAGATGATTCGGACATATCATATGATCTTAAGCTTTCTATAGACCTTTGTCTCTCTTTCATTTGTGTGTCCCTTACCTCGTGGAGTCTTGCTCCAACTTTACTCCCACTTGGAGTTCTACTAATAATTTTATATTAATATTAAAAATCCCTCTTTCTTTACTTAGAGATCGTTTTCGTTTCTTTTATGTTTAGGCTACACATGTACGTACTGCCAAATATTCAGAATCATTGAATCTAGCATACATACATGTATATGATGACATATCTACTCGTCTAGTCGCCCTTGGTCCGTTCGTGGCTTCAATCTCTCCACAAATCTTAAGATTAACGTTTCATAGAAATTAACAAAAGTTATTGACTCTTATCTATTATCTAACGTATATTCAATTATTTTGTTCACCGAAATATTTATTATGACTTATCAAAAGAAATATTTATTATGTCATAGCTATAAACATCTGTACGACATATGCTAGTTAGATTAACTAGATATAAATTATATTTTCTTGCTATCTAATTATCTAAATCAATCTACCTAAAACACACCTAATAGCTTATGTGGAGTACTCGAGGTAGGAAGAATACAAAGGAAGTCAATTCCACATGTAGTATACAGTATACTAAATAACGATGATTACTGTTACAAAGCTACTATTATAATCCGCGTATAATTAAATATGTGCAGTGCAGAAATGAAAGATAAATCTTTGTTTTGTGGTGTGATTAAGTATAATAAGCAAGAACCAAATGATGGATATTCACGTGCTTAGCACAATTATATAGACCACAATAGAAACTAGAGTTATTGTAGATGTCATGTCTTCGCAATGTTTCTTTGCTTGTCTAAAGCTTGTCGCTTAGTTGTTTTCTCAAAACAATTTTCCTTTTTTTTTTCTTTCTATTTTCCTCTTTTACATATGAAAAAGTGAAGAACAATAGACTTAAAACGAACTCGTAAACTTATTAGATAATAAGCAGACTACATGCTGATAAATGTAGTTTTCATAAATTGTAGTATATTAAAGGGACATATTTCAAAAAATACAATATTAATTAAATTTTGGAAGATATGATATTTTCTAGTTAAAAAAATTGATTGCGAGGAACCGCAGCTGGTTTTTCTCTGACTTCTTCGTCTGTGACAAAAGGATTATCACCATGCTTTACGATATAGTATATAAAAAGAAAAAGATTGTGTAGTAATCATCTTTGCTCCCGTATGAATCTCTTAGTCTATGCCGTAAAAAGATATCAAAAGAATAAAACAAAAACTAGTCACTGGAAACTACAGTAGACTACTTTCTTGACTACTAATGTTTTGGGATATTTACATAAATAAGGCAAAATTTCTTCTGGCTGCTGATGATTCCAGCTTCTCATTTGAGCATCCTTATTGGTATAAGTTCTTGAGCTCTGGTGCAGCAAAAATCTGATTCGGAGGACGAAGCAGTCACCACTGATTGATGAAAGTTTTGATTGTCTTCTTCATCAAAATCAGTACTTTAGAAGTCCAGCACCTTGAGCCTTTCCAATAACTGACTCTATGGTTCCATCAAAGAGATCAAAGCTTTTGGCAACAGCAAAACCCGAAAACATACCATCCACTGCAGCACTTACAATCCCACCAGCATAACCAGCTCCTTCACCAACTGGGTATAGACCTTTTAAGCTCGTGCTCTCGTAGGTCTCGTTGCTTCGAGGTATCCGTACAGGAGAGCTTGTTCTTGTCTGGTTTAACAAAGTTGAAACATTGTTATCTCGTCGTCTGAAGAGTAGACTGATTCAGAACTGGGAAGATATGATAATATTATACCTCTACGCCGTGGAGGAGTGCGTCCTCTGAGATGAATCCCGGTAACTGAAAGTTCTCAAGTGTTTAGAGAAAAACAGAATCTACTGGTTTGTTTATAGCAAATAAGAAAAAAACAAAAATTGGAACCAACCTCTTTTTCAAACATAGAGACAGACTGTCGCAGAGAATGTGTGATATGAGCAGGAAACAGTTCATGCAGATTTGCAGACTTCACTCCTAATCTATAGCTTGATGGAGGTAATGGCGATTCTGTTTAACAGCACAAGAATATCCTAAATCACCAAAAACAAACCAAAATGAGAACTGAGTATTAAGGAGAATGTTATTTACCAGATAACTTGTTTTGCAGAAAATCAGTAACCCTTTGTACAGGAACTGTAAAATCGCCACCACCCATTATAGCCGCTCTTCTTTCAAACTCTCTCTAGAGAAACACAAAAAACAAAAATCAAAGGAGAAAATAATATGACTCGAGAGTAGTAATAGTACTCCACGTTCAGATTGATACCTGAAACTCAATTCCAGCTAAGGGTCCCTTAAGATTGAGAAGATCAAAGTCTTTTGCTGAGACTGTGACGACGAGTGCAGCATTAGCCCATTTGGATGAACGCCGAGAAAATGACATGCCATTAATGCAGAGTTCGGTTGGGTTTGTGCTAGTGAGAACAACCTGCAAAAACATGGAAACAGTCTTATTCATGATGAATCGGAAAAAAAGCCAAAAAAAGAGCTCCTCCTCATTGTAAGGAAACTATACCTGACCACCAGGACACATGCAGAAGGAGTAGCAACTACGTTTTGATGACGACTGCTCGTGATCCTCCTCCTTCTCATTCACGTATTGAACAACCTTATAATCCGCCACTGGTACTTTGCCTCGTCCTTTACGAACTTCACTAGCTAACTCCGAGTACTAAATACAGAAAGTACCAGTAATTAGGAAGAGCATCACAATTCAGAGATTTTCATGGGATTTGATTGATATGATGAAGATATTTGGTGTTAATGTAACCAAACCAACCTGTATACTGTTAATTAGCTCCTGAGGATGCTCAACGCGCAAACCAACCTGGTCCACACGATCATATAGAGATCAAATGATAAAACCAAGCCAAAAAAGTTACTCACAACATATATACATATAAGAAACTTACCGCAAAATCTTTCGGTGTCAGTTCCACATTACGAGAAAGAAGCATCTCATATGTATCACGAGCTGAGTGACCAACTGCAAGAACAACTGCATCAAACTTTAAATCCTGGGAGGTACTCTTGAATTGGTCTGTTGAATCCGAAAGTTTGACTCCAACCACACGAGAATCCTCTACCAAAAGATCGTCTACCCGAGTGCCAAACTTGATAGTCACCTAATTAAGCATATGTAATTATAGAAGAGCTCATAAGAGAAAAGACTTTTATCAATCTCTTGCTTTAAACTTACTCCTGCGCTTTGAAGATAATGCCGGAAATTACGGAGTAATGGAACTAGCTTATCTGTTCCTAGATGAGGCTTTCCATTGACCAGAATATTATCAGGAGCCCCAAAACGAACCAAAGTTTTCAAGACCTGTAACAATTAAAGCCATTGTCACATTTTGTTCAGGTGTACTCAAACGTGAACTGCGCTTGTATAACAGTTGGGAGTCTCAGAATACTAACCGCTAAAACAGTGGCACTGTTCTTTCCAATCCGAGTAACAAGCTTTCCATCACTCCAAGTACCTGCACCACCCTGCAACGCATAAGTGCTAAAATATGACTATGACAATAACAAACAAGACGAGCAAACTACCAAAAGATCCAACTACTTATGATAAGTTAGTTAAAGAGAAGGTTTTTAAACCTCGCCAAAGCAGAAATTACTCTCCATATCCAAAATCTTACGAACTACCAAAGCCCCTATATCACGTCCCCTTTCTTCTACTGCTTGCCCTCTCTCGATCAATGTCACATCCGCACCAAACTCAGCAAGAACAAGAGATGCAAACAAACCAGACGGACCACCGCCAACAACTGCGATTTTCGGTTTGCTTCTTCCTCCTCCGTGCTGGTGTGGATCTCCAGAGCCATTGAAAATCCGAGGTTCATATTCTCCGGATGATGATGTATCATTGTTTGACCTTTTACAATCGTTTACTACACTGATCAAATCACCCGAAACGGTCTTCTCGGGAGACAAATGTTCAACAAGGCCAATCTTGGGCTCTAACCGGAAAATGAAATCATGAGCACGAGGCTCTAACTCAAGAAGCGTCTTCACATCCAAGTCCACAGTATACACAAACTTGGCTTCTTTCAGAATCTGAAGACAAGATGTAAGAAAAATTCACTCACTTGAACTATAAAAGGAAGTAAGTGGAATCAAATTGAAACCTTTACCTTCCTAGCGTCAAAAGATTTCCTAACCACTGAAAATGCTTCTTCTGGTAGCATTGAAGCAACCTGAAAACCCAGGCAAATTCATAAGATTTATTCAAATTTTTTTTTGTCAAATCATAGATAACATCAACCCATTTCCCCAAATTCCAAAAAGTTTCGATTTTTATTACCAGCCCACTTCATAATAAACCAAGCCAAAAAGGGAAAACTCACCGGAAACTCGATAACTTTAGCAATGGCTTGAAGCAAACCTTCCGAAATTCCAAGAAAATCTTTTCCAGGGTCATCTCCGACAGGAACACCGAGCTTAGAGAGACGCCAAACTCCTTCAAGCTTGTTCTTAACCTTTGCCACAGCTTCCTTCTGCTCCGTTCTAAGCTTCCTCCTCTCAGAAGGGTATCTCCGCTTCCCGGTTCGCTTCGCAGCGCAGAGAATCCTGTGTGTTTGGAGAGGAGGATAAGAGAGTACCGCTCTAGAATAAGGAATTCGCAGGTCATGGGTCGATGAGAGAAATGTAGAAGTGAGGAAATTCGTTTGCGAATGCGAGAGAGACATAGTACAAAGTACACAAACTCAAAACTCTCTCGTCTCTGTCACAAAGAGTTATCCTATCATTTTAAAAATGAATCGACTCGAGCCCGGTTCTACCATTGATGTTCAGTCCGGTTCAATTCTTTGGTTTGGTTTCTAGTTTCTAAATTGGTTATGGTTTTTGTTTATAATGTACACACGATTACGGAGAGAAAATATATGAATCACATATTATTTGAAACTAATCCATTAGTAGCTTAGAATGTTAAACATATCTTCTTTTTTTGTGTTTAACGTTAAATTTATCTTTATGGAGATATTTCGATATTTAATGTTGTTACTCTTAATTTCTTACCATATCAACAAATCGTTATGGAGGAGTTAGTTTATGATCGATCCAATGTTAATATAATTTTCATGGAATTAGATAATTTTATCAGTATCACTATTGAATATGTGAAGCAGATATCGAAATAAGAGTCTATATATTAATAACAGAACAAAGGAGAAATCAAAATCAAAACCATAAATAATCGTCACCTAGGTCAACATAAAAAAAGTGAGAAACGGTCCCATATTCTCCCCGAATACGCAGACAATCATCCACAATGGCGTAATCTTCGTTACAATGAAACTCAAAGCTCCATATAGATCGAAAAGTTTCCGTCAGAATATCGAAGGCTTCTACACGGATATAACCATCATCGCATGGTTGCGTTAACCAATAAAGTGACTCACCTCTAAGGAAGGGTCTTTCAACTATCTGGTAGCTTGAAGTGTACGTCACGTATCTCCAAGTATCAGCCCTGAATTCGAAAACTTGGCACATAAATGCAGACACAGCAGAACTAGATGACCACATTACTAATTTGTAACCTTGTCGGTTTGGTTTTTGTCTTTTTTCATTGTCGATAAAAAGTTGAAGACTGGAAGGAGAAAAGCATTTGTTGGAACCACCGTGTGGCCGGTTTAACCGCGTAGATATTGGATGTTAGCTGATTGTTCTGAAATCGCTTCGAGCAGTGTCTCTCTCCGAAAAAGCGAGACTCGATCGTCGACTTCCACGATTTCGAAAGGGATTTGAATCTTAGGACTGATTTTACGGGAAGACTCACGAATATCTCCTCCACGAGCTCGTGTGGTAGCTCACGTTTCTGCCTTTTTGCTTCCATTGTTAGGAGTGGTGATTAAACGGTTGTATATTTGAGTTATAGTGTTTTTTTTTTTTTTTTGTTAAAATTTTAGGGTTTCTTTTTCTCTTCTTTTGATCATGAGTACGTGCAATCATCTCAGTATTTATAGCTAGCTTTTAACGTACTTGGGCCATATTTCCTTTTCAAGAGAGACTTAGGAATTTGTTATCCACGCCAAATAATTTCCTTTTCTTCTGCAAATTAAGGAAAGATCTAGGTTTCTTATCCACACATGTTTATCTTAAAATTAAATAATTGATAAAAAAATGTATAATATTAAAATACTATCAGAATCAGTTATCATAAATAAAACTTAATATACAAATCTTTTTTTTAAAGGATTATTAACATACAAATCTTCTCTCATGACTTGTACACATTGTCTGAATTTAAAGTCTAAATGTCTTTGGATCATTGTTTTTCTCGAAACGTATAAACGATGATCATCAAAATTGCCCATGTGGTCATGTGGATACTATATAAACACAAATAATCAGAAAAAAAGTATTTGGTACTCAAAAATCCGATAACTTGACTTGACTTGTATGTCAAGTTAAGGAACCTTCGAGTATTCACCCTAAACTTGAAAGCTTTGCAGCAGAATTACGTTACCGAACTAGTTATAGATATATACAAAATTACATAAATTTCATGAACCTTAGATGTTGATCTACCCTATAAAATCTTCATTACCCAAGTACGACGCCAAAAACATCTCAAACTATACCCCCCCCCCCTGTAACAAACATTTCTCTCTCGATTTTAACACATACTGAAAACCACACGTCAAAGTTTTGGGGGTTTAGGGTTGAGGAAAAACTTTGGTAGTCGAAAAAGGTGTAAAACTTCTTTTTTTCTTTTCTTGAATCTACAAATCTATCTGTATAAGATACAAAATAAAAACAGCAAAACGTCCCAAGTTTTCAAGAGGCTATACGAATCTGGTAAGCATCTCCGTCCTGATGCTATCTATCGCAAGATCCCTTTTGTATCAAAAACATAAATATATGTAATGATCATCATGAGCCCATAGAAATGGCTAGTGGCATCTCACTCTCATGCGAACCGACAGAAGAATTGCTGGACGCTGACATCCGTTTCTTGGATTGATTCCCTTCAACCGACACTAGAACTTGGCCTTGTGGGTGAGCTATCTCCTCTGGATCATCATTAGGAGACTCTAAAGATTGCTGAGGAGGGTCAAGATCGCGTGGCATGGACTCTACATTTGCGTTGTTGTTATTACCACCGGATCCAATGACCATCCTAAATCCAAAAGTGCGTGAAACAATGCGGTATGCAAAGGTTAGGAGCCAGAAGAACCAAGGGAGACAGACAAAGAAAATGCCGAGGTAAGAGAGCCAAATTGGAGGGTAAGGAAGGATTGTGTATGCAATAAGACAACCGCCTCCAACAGCGATTGATAGGAAAAGAAATAAGGTAATGAGACAGATGAATGCCTGTCCCGCCCGTGGATCTGGCACAGGCATTATATTCTTCTAATGAAAGATCGATCTCAATATTGAAGAAGGATCAAGGGACGTTTTAAGGGTACTATATCATCCTCCATTTACAAATTGCTCTTTCTTCTTCTTCCTCCTCCTCTTCTTTCTACGATTTTTTTGTTTGTTTTTGTTTTAATGATGAGGTAATTGATAGGTTTAGGATCAGGTTGAAAAACAGAATAGATCCCACGCACACACAAAAAAGAGCGTTTGAGGAAAAAGAAAACACGAGAGGGTATTTTCTGTTTTGTTTTGTTTTGTTTTGTTTATGTGTGACTTATAATTTGACAAGAATAGCCAATAGTCATTTTCTTCTTTTCTTTTTTTCCATTTGCCATTCCATAGGAGAGGGACGTCCGTAGATACAGGACCTATTACATTGAATATCGTTGGATCAAAATCATTTTCAAGCCTTTTTGCATTCTTCATTAATTAAAGATCTAGCTAGATGATCATGATGCATGCTCATGTGTACGATTATATACGAAACTGAAATGCGAGGAAATTACATAAGTTTTAATTATGTTTCATCAAAAAATCAAAAATACAAATGGCGATTTTAGTACTGGAGATTTGCCTTCTATATTATTAATAGTACTAAATATGGGAGGTGGCAAAGAACTTCTTGCAATTAAACTCAGCCTAAATGCGTTTGTTCTAATTTTATGGATTTGTATTTTGTGATATTATTTTTATTAGTAATTATTTGATAATACGTTTTGTTATAATGAAATTTCATTCCATTTTCTGTTTTGTTTTTAAAGGAAGCCTTGTTGTATTCTAAACTACAGTTAAGAATTGGAATTCAAGATCGACACTAAGACATTTGAAGCCTTGTTCTAGTCATCAACCACAATTAGAATTGGAATAGAAGGTCGACACTAATATTTTGTTCATTCCAACAGTCAAACAGATATAATATTCTTAGCACATACACAATTCAACTTTTTATCTTATCCATTTGGCAAATTTAGTTTACAAAAAGTTGATTTCATCTGTATAGGATTAAGATAAGATTTGTGTATTTAATTTATGTTCGATTACCATAACTGGTTTAAGAAGCATTGTTGACTAGAATATCCATTACCAAATAAAAACAAAATTGTTGACTAGTGAGTAGTGACTACCAAAAAAGAAAAAGAAAAAGTAATTACATAAATTGAAGACGAGTAAACACGTGGCAAATCCTCTATCTATAGCCGTCATACGAATAAGCAAATATGGGACCCACCCAATATATCAACAACTACTGGCTGTTCGCCAGCGAATTAACAATATTTTTAATTGAAGAAGTAAATGACTATATTAGCCCTCCTCCATAGTCATAAAGCGGTGGTCATTGTGGTAATTTCAAAGCACTCCAGTTTTCATTTGTAGTCAAATTACGATAGCGCGTGGCCGTACAATCGAATGTACTCGCGTCGATAGCCGCCATGAGAATCCTTTTTTTTTTTCAATCAAATAGAGAGAGAAGAGATCCCCTAAATCGTTACTCGAATTTCTAGGGTTTGCTGATTCTCTTCGCGTTCCAGATAAATCCTTTCTGAAATTTTCCGACTTTGTTTTTAATTTGCTGTTTTCGTGATTTCGCCAGCTGGTTATTCCGGTTTAACCTGATTTCGGGAGAAAGTGTTTTCATTTTGGGATGGTGGAAATGAGGAAATCTGGAGGTATTAGACCAGAGTCTGAATTGGCGGCCAAGTGCCGAGATGAGTTGCCTGTGAAGCTGGAGATCGCCGAGGATGATTTAGAAGAAGAGCATGGTCCTCTCAACAAGCGATCTAGGGTTTGTTCCTTCTCTTATTCCAGATTAGCTGATCCTTTTCGTTTCTCCTAGAATTTATTAGGAAAGTGTAGTTTCCAAGCGGATTGATACAAATTTTTCTTTTTTTAAAGAGGAATTGGTTCTTAGTGAATTCTACGGTTCTTATTGCCGTTTTCTTAATGAAGATTGCTCTTTTGTGCTTTTCCGGTTGTATTTTTCATGAAATTTATTGTGCTGAATGAGTATATTTTCCTGATATCTCTTTTTTATTGCAATGAATTAGTTATGGAGCTCTGGGACAAGCTCATCGCCAATGGCACCGGCCAAGTATAACCCGCTTGATGAGCCGAGTCCTCTTGGACTGAGCCTTAGGAAGAGTCCATCGTTGTTGGAGTTGATTCAGATGAGGCTAACGCAAAGTGGTGACCCAAAATCCGAATCCGGTTCTGTTTCCTCTGGTGTTAAGAAAGAGAGTAAATGTATCACTGCTGGATCGACTTTGGCGCCAGGAAGTATTGAGAAGTTGAAAGCTTCCAACTTTCCTGCTTCTCTGTTGAAGATCGGGCAGTGGGAGGTGAGCCCTGGGAAATTTTGCTTTTCTTTGTGATATATGTTTCATTGTGCTAACGAAATCTGACTTGACGTGGTTTTTGAATTATTTGTTTTCCGTAGTATAAATCGAGGTATGAAGGTGATTTGGTGGCAAAGTGTTACTTCGCAAAACACAAACTTGTTTGGGAAGTGTTAGAACAAGGTCTTAAGAGTAAAATTGAGATCCAATGGTCAGATATAATGGCTTTGAAGGCAAACTGTCCTGAAGATGGACCTGGAACACTAACTCTCGTGGTACAAGATTCACTCATGTTCTATTCCCTCTCCCATCCTATGCTCTTGTTCAACTTTAATCTCTGGTCTCTTTATGTTTCAGCTTGCTAGACAGCCCTTGTTTTTCCGGGAAACAAACCCACAGCCTAGAAAACATACTTTGTGGCAGGCAACATCAGATTTTACCGATGGCCAAGCCAGCATGAACAGGTACAGACAATTTTTGTGTCCTCTCCACTTAGGAATAAAGGATTTCGTGTAATTGAAAATTAGCATTTTGTGACTGAATATGATGTCCTAGCTTCAGCTAACGATAGTCTTCCTGTGATCTGTTAGGCAGCATTTTCTGCAGTGTGCTCAAGGGATAATGAACAAACATTTTGAAAAACTCGTTCAATGTGATCATCGCCTGTTCCATCTGAGCCGTCAGCCGGAGATAGTTATGGACTCTCCCTACTTTGATTCACGGCAATCTATCTTTGAGGATCCAAGTGAATCCAAAGGCCATCCTTTTGGGAATTTGAACCTTAGCACAGGTCCTTCAATCTCTGGGACTCATAATTTAGCATCTCCTGTTGGGGCTCAGTCTTCATCTGAACATATGTATCTGTCTCATGAAGCACCATCGCCCAGCTCAGGTATTGTGATAACTGCGAGTTCTTGTCGTTCCATAGCTCCTTATTTGGAGGTTTTCTTTTCCTTTTCAACTATAGAGCCAAACTAAGATTGCTTCATTCGTCTCTAGTGATAGACGCTCGCGGAAATGAAGGAATTGGGGGTGCTGAAGCAGTCAATTCAAGAAACACAACGGACTGTAGTCAGAACGGAGTACCTGGACTACACCAATCTATGTCACTGAGCGATTTCCTTGCACTTCTCTGTGATACAAAAAACACAACGGATTCGAGTCAGGTTGAAGAAGTAGGTGGACTACACCAATCTATGTCCGTGAGTGATTTCGTTGCACTAATATCTGATTCAAGAAACGGAAGTGATTCGAGTCAGATAAAAGTGCCTGGACTACACCAATCAATGTCAGTGAGCGATTTCGTTGGACTTCTCTCTGATACTGCTGGTGGAAATCATCCGGAAAATGTGGAGAAATTTGAGAACATGAAACAGCAGTTGCTAAGTGATAATATCCAGTTTGATACAGCAGATGAGAAGTCTCTGATGCCAAGGGTTAATTCTTTATTCAACCTCTTGTACAAGGATCCAAACGTCGCTGCAAACTCCCAGCTCAATACCGAAATCTCGGTTGGATTGAAGTCTGAACCCAATGATCTGAAGGGGATTGTGTCTGACAGCAGCAACAGAGTTCTTGATCCAGCTTCGTGCAGCAAACCACAGGGTATGTCAAGGAAAGACTCGTTCGGCGATTTGCTATTACACCTCCCCCGGATCACCTCCTTGCCAAAGTTCTTGTCCAACATTTCAGAAGAAGATGGTGATGCATATAATAGATAATTTATAGATTCTGCCCTTTTTTTTCCGGATGTGGCAAGCAGTGTCAGCTGCCCCCAGTAAAAAAAATGATTAGTGTAAAGGTTTTTAAGGATAATAATTATTGCTCCCATATCAAATTACTTCAAGTCATGTAATTTTAGATTCAATTAATCACAATGAGTTTAAAAAACAATATTACTAGTGATCATATCTTTCTTTTAGACTATTTTAAATAACATGTGGATTGTTTCCGGTCAAGTAATTGAGCACATATAATGAAGATATGATCAAACCATTAAACTAGATTTTCAATCAACCATTCAATCAATGCACTAAAACAGATCAAATGAAAATATGATCTAATTCAAAGGATCAGATTAATAATTTTACATCAAACAAAATAAAGCAAATCATGGTAATATGTTTTGGAATAAAAGACATATATAAGCACCCGCCATTTATAACGAAATCCAATGAATTTGTGTACAGATCATCCCCAACATTATACAATGTCTGCAGCTGCGTAGGCATTACAGTATTTATCCTAAACTTTTTTTTTATATAGATATATTTTGTATTGTTCTTTTATTACAAGCATTTAAAGCGAGGCAGAGTATGTACAAGGATAAAAGATTAAACTAGGATCAGTGATCATCAGCTGTACAGAAAGAAGAAAGATATGAAATAAAATATTAAAAAAAAAAGAGACAAATGAAACCCAACACCCACAAATCATGCGAGGGGCTGTCCGGTTTTTGATTGTTATTTGAATAGAAAACCTAATTACATTTTTTTTTTTTCCTTCTTTTTTTCCTTGGGG